CGCGGTGTTCCACTCGCCTGGTGAGCAGGCTGCTTAGCACTCGGCTTCCGAACCTGTTTAGGTGGTTCGACTTGATTAGAACCAAGAGAGCCAGCGGAAGTATTCCACCGCTCGTTGCTGCCTATGGCCCCGTCATTTCCCTTGGAATCTATCAGGGGGCCAGCACTGTCCTTAGGGCCCTGCTGTTTGCTGCCAAGGTCAATTTGGTGAGGCATGGAAGCAAGGTGAGGGGGAGCAGGCTCAGCAGGCTGACTACTGAAGAAGTTGAGGGGTGCCGGTGTAGATGGCAATGTTATCTCCTCTCCCTTCGCATGAGCCGTAGCATGTTTTTGTATTCCCTCATTACCAATGCAACCTCTTGAGGTCTCTCGCTTATCAACTTCCTTAAGGGCAGCAAGGGCAGTGCCAATACTGCGAGAGATGCTTTCCGCTCGTGCAGCTGCTGCCTCAGCCGCTGAGGCTGGCGCTGAGGTATTGCAAACAGGTGAGGCGGATTGTGGTATGTGTTTTTTGGGCTCTTCCCTTGACGCTGGACCAAAGGCAAGGATGGGATGCCCATCAGGGGTCTGCGAAGCACCAGTGACAGTAAAAAGGAATGAGATCTTGACCTTGTCATCTATTCCAAAGACAGTCGCAAAATCCCGCCTATATGGGGCAAGGATAACAGCATTGCCAAAATTTGACAAGTAGATACCACCTGCAAAGGACGCATGTGCCCGCTGTTTCTGTTGGATAAACTGAGGTAAACGGACATTGCCTTTCCCAGTCAGCGCATAAGCCGCGTAACAGTTACCACTATGTGCGTCGTCTGGCAGCTCCTCAGAGAAGAGGTGACTGCAGTGCCGCCCAAAAAGACCTCGGGTGGGCTCACTTTCCCCTGTGTCGGGCTCCTCATTCGTATGCGGACACTCAAGCAGAGCTTGCGAGATGAGAGAGTGGTGCCGTGTGCTAGCAGGGTTTTTGAGACCAATATGTAGAATTGGAATTGCTTCCTGCGTGGCAATGCACTCACACTGCATGACCTTAAATCGCACAGAATAGGCATAGCGTTCGACTGCAGCTTTGTCCTCAACATTGACAGGGGTAGTGCGTGGGGGATTGATCTCGACTTGGTTGCTGCTCTCCCCACCAGAGCTGTAATGAATGTAGGTGTGGCTGGCTAGCACTCTCCACAGACTAGACCCTGTCTCTCCCTCTTACTTCCACACGTGCAATCCTATGCAGGCAGAACCGGCGGCCGTTCCTTTTGCACTCACTGCCGGCGGCGGTTCGTCTGTGCAACGGGATAGCTCTGATTGCTCAGGATAGAAGACACATATAGCACTTAGCTATGGGCATTGACTTGAGCCAAACGTTGCGTTGGCGGTCACATAGAAAGGTAAAGATGAGGGATGCGTAGCGTGCCCCCTTAGAGTCGAGGGACGCGTAGCGTGCCCCCTTCTCTTGCACTTTACACGGTCTTGCTCACAGCTCTTATAGTGACACCTTAGAACTTGACAAGGCATCGCAGTCCGTTCGCACCCCCCATGAGTTGCGTCTCCGACGCTGCTCACCCGGAAGATGGCACGATAGGACAACAGAAAATGTTCCGCCGCAACGTTGACATTGAAAATCAGAGCTTTGCATCCCAATTAGAAACGTTGTGACACTCATCTACGTCAGTAACGATCCCCTGAAATGGCAAACGAATCAGGCGTCACCGAAGAAAGAAGCATTCGCGATGGCATTCCACGGGCGAAGCTCAGAGGTCACGAACTGATAGGCGAGGAAGATCAGGCGTTGTCTCGCCACCATCTTCGCGTTGACGTAGGATCGCGGTCCCAGGGCCGGAGGTTCTCCTCTGGATACTGGTTCCTTGGCTTTCCTTTGTCCTTGCCTTTGTTTCGGCCTTTGGCGGCGATGTAGTCGTGGTAGGAATTGGTGTTCCAGCCACAATGTTGCTCGCCTCCGGTTCTTCCACGCCCTTTTGAAGGTCCCTTGGATGAAGAAGCGCTTTCACGTTCCTCCGTAGTGACAGGCGTGTCCAGGATGGATGTACCACCTGGAGGAAGATAATCAGCGGCCGAAATGTGGTGTAGGGCCTCCGTACGCTTTGTCGTCGGGTTTTGCTGTCTCTCAGTTTTGGATCTGTTCAATCTGTCCATGAAATGCGCAGGCATTTGCACACTGTGGTCCACCAGCAAGGCGATGGTCTGAACTGACTGATCAGAATGAGTCAGCAGAATACCGACGGGGTCGATGTACAAGAAGTCCACTGGTCCAGTTGGCGTTGGTCGTAGCACTGAGAATTGTTGGTGTCCCGTCACCATTGGGATCACCTCGCATAGGACGTTCAGGCAACAAAAGTGCATAGCCTTTACATCTTCATCCCTGTCGCTCTTCAAGTAAGTAGTAGGGTTGAAGTTGTCCCTGCCAATTCCCATCATGTTGGCTCCCCGTACAAGTAAAGAAAGCATCTGGTTCGTCCGGAAGCGCTTCAAGGTGTAAGTCCCGTTGGGATCATACTGTTTGAGGTTCTCAGGTTCCTTTGCAAAGCGAATGATCTCCTCATCAGTCACGTCCCTGCTCACACCCGTTTCCCTATCCACTGCTGCCAAAGATCCCCACTTTCCAAGCACATCATAGCGTTGGCCAAGTGCGAAACTTTCCCTCATCTGAAACAACGGCATAGTCGCCCACTTTGCGAATCCTGACCAAGCTTTGTAGATGGATCTGCATACCACGTATGCCATGTACGACAGAGCGGTCATGTTCGCGTCAATGCAATGGGCATTTCGCTTTCCAGAATAGTAAGATGGCTGCATGGCGGTACGTGCAAGTTGTAGCTCAGGATCGATGTTCAAAGACTGGCCGGTAATGAAGACGGGACGACGTTCCTGTGCGATTGCTTCTGGAACTGCGTCATCAAAGTCCTCTCCAGGCTCGACGTCCATTTCTTCATCAGGTTCCTGTTCTGGATCGTCTTCCGCGATGACAGACGGTTCTGGGATTTCCTCAGGTTCCGCAACGGTCTCTACCTCCATGGCTTCCTGCTCCTCTTCGGGCGCCTCAGGCACTGCGGCTGCTGCGGCTTCCATTGTCTGAGCAATGAAGTCACTGGGGATCTCCGTAGGAGTCTCCCGTTGTGGAGAACCTTGGTAATATCCGCTCGAAACGAACTGTGACCAGCAAGACGTGCATCGGGAGAAACATGCTGGAACGATGTTGTAGCATGCCGGGCATACCCTCATTCTCCGTCCATCCTCGTCTCTGCGTAGGTCTTCGGGTCGCCAATTCTTGATGACAAACTTGATTCCTTTGTCCATGTAGTGATGCCGAACCGTGTTCTCCCTGTGGGACTCCAGGACAGTCGTGAGGTCACGAATGATCTGCTCCTTGCTTGTGTCGTGGGGTCCAGGAGGCATCTCGCAAAGCAATTCCATGATCTTGCTTGGCGTTCGGTATCTCTCGAACTCAGGAAGCAACGGTGATGCATTGTAGTCCAACACCAGTTCTTTCTCCAACCTTTCATCGTAGATCTTTTCCACCAGAGCGAAAGAGTGTGTATCTCGAGGATCAGGGACGCAAAACCATACCTCCTTGACGAAATGGAAAGGTATCGTTCGACCAACGATCATGATGCCGCTGTCTGTGATACGTCCATCCTCTCGCGCAAGATCTTGCGATGGGACATGAAGGACCGCCAACGGCATGTGCTTGGCGTCTCGTCCGTGTACTCGCATCTTGGTTGTTGCATTCCGGTGATCGAACGGCGCAAACACCCCCCAGTAGCTGTGGAGTCTGCCGCCTTGGTTGCCTCGGAATTGGCGCCTATGGTCGAAGTCCCCGTCGGGGTCCTCCGAACCAGGCATGATGCCTTGCGTGACAATGGAATCCAAGTTGCGGCATGCCGTAGCGTGGAACGCACCTCCAAGACGTTGCAAGAGGGTCATAGATGGAGATATTGCGAACCTGTTCTTGTCCAACTGAAGCAAGTTGTTCTGGGGATCTGAATGTGCAGAGTGACCACTCGTAGCCCGAACTGCCCATGGCTTCACCCAGCCGTTGCATAGGTTCAGGTACCTCTGGCCATGCCGGCAATGGTCGTTGCTCTGGATCTCCGTGATCTGGTCCCGAACTGATACCAACATGTTCGAACCTGCTGATCCAAGAACTTCCGTGCCGGGGTCCTTCACTCTCACACCCAGGAACTGCAACCGAATCTTGGCCTTGTTGCGTTTCGTGGCTGCAATCATGTTCCCCTGGAACAATAGCTGAAGTCTTTCATTGTACACTCTCTTCTTCTGTTGGTCATCGGTCCTTGAGACCCCTTCGGTGATGCGTCTGCTTTCATGGGTCCATAGTGGCTCATGCCTCACCAAGTCTTCGATCAGCACCCACCCTCCTTCATCACATTTGATGACACTGTTGAATGCCACCTGGCACCTGTTGTCAAGCCATTCCGAGCCTGGGCGCCTGGCGATTCTGTGGCGCAAGTCAGACTGGATGCATGATAGCGCCCAATCCGCATTCAACCTGCGCTGACGGGTGATGTTGCGAAGGACAACTTCGTTCACGATGTCCCACCGATTGTTGATGAAGCTTGCACCCTTGGTTGGGATCAGGTCGAGAATCCCGCACCGGATTGGCCTTCCGCCGCCGATGGATTCATAGCCTGGATTGGTGTAGCTATGAGTGTTCTCGTCGTACACATAGCTAGGACGGTCTCCTCGTTGAGGTAGGCGTCGGTCGCGATGGTCTGAAAGCTGCTCAATGATGTCCACCACTCGCTGGCTATTCTCTGGTCCCGATTCCTGCAGTGGTACGCCACAAGCATCGTTTAGGCCCCGACGGTTCTCCACATCCGTGCAGAGATTGTGTTTGTTCTCATAACGGATCAAGACCACATCACCCCGTACGGCTTCGCCTCCGCGTCGCGGTCGGGCTTTGGCCTTGGGTCGTCGGTCCGAGGAGTCCGCGACCCCGGGCTCAGCATCCCCCACTGCTGGGCCAGGGCCCCATCACGAACTCCTCGCTTTCGCCTTGGCCTTGCACTTCGCTGCCCCATGGTTGGGCGCACCACAGACGCGCTCGGCCCGGAGAACCACGGCGCAGCGATGGGCCCCATTCGGGCACGGAGGTGCGTGCTTGCAGGACCCTTTCTGGTAGTCACCGCAAAGCTTGGTGCCATCTTTCATCACACGAGCTGTGGGCTTGCCTCCCACCATGGGTCCCGGGACGAACAAAGACTTGGTTGGCTCAGCGGTCACTGGCTGGGGCTTCGGAGCGACTGGCACTCCCTCCGGCAGCGCTGGCGCCAACCAGTGGGCGTCACGTGCTTCCATAACCTCTTTATAATAACTGCTCCGAGCGTCCGGGTCCCCTCCCGGAACCGCGAGACCCACTCAGCTCGCTCCTCGGCATCACGATGCTGAAGCCAGCTCAGCCGCTGCGCGGGAGCGACTTGCATGGCGGCCTTACGGGCCCGGTAGTAGTATGCCAGCACACAATCCAAAGGCACCTCGACGAACTGGCAAGAGTTGGCGCCCAGCGCTTTCTCTCCCGCCGGGTCCCCTCCCGCGATCACCTGCACCCCGTTGAGCGCGTATGCGATCATAAGCGTGTGGAGCTTGTGAAGATATGTGTCCACATCCCGAGCAACGACCTCGTCGACTTCGGGCTCGTCGGTATAGAGGCCATCAGCCAGCTTGCGCCGCTTTTGTGAGGTGCCTAACTGGAATTGTAGGGATCGCACTCGCCATACGTCATATATACAAAGCATCCTTTTGGAAAGTTCCCGAGAGATGCGGGAGACTGTTGCGTCGGAGGGTTGCACTTCGGCAGGAAAGCGCAACTTGTAGCGAATCCAAAAGGCTTCTTTCAGCGTGCGAAGTTCGGAGTCCGCCAACATCGAGTCGAGGTCGGCCAAGGCAACCTTAGAGCGGTCTTGCTCCGCCTGGGTGTAGTATGTGCATGTTGCCTTCCACGCCCTACGGAGGCGGGCGGTCTGCAACATAGTGGCGTCCCCTAGCCCCAACTTCCCCACCCAGGTACCTATCGCCGCCTCGTTCTCGAATAAGAAGCGAAACTCCTCGAGGTGGCGGATCCCAGTGCCGAGCACTTCTGCGACCACCTTGGCGTCCAAACCGAAGTTCAGCTGCAGGCTATCCATGCTCGCCTTAATGTCCTGCTCCACTCGAGGGACAAGCGAGACTGACGACATGGGGCCTACGTCGAGGTCGACCCCCCGAAGAGCCTGCACGAGGGTCAAACTCCCAGCCTATCGCCAGACTCCGCGATCCCCTCGGTCAGCTCCGAGGTTGCGGTACCTTCGAGCAAGGCGAGGACCAACTGACCGGACCGAGAAGAAGAGAGAGAGAGGGGAAAGAGAGAGCAGCAAGCAGCAAGCAGGGAAAAGAGGGTGGGGGCTAGGGACAAGGTGCAGGCACTCAGTCACGACTGCATCACCACAGCCACTGCTCCTGCACTCCGCGCCCGCACCCCTCTTTTTCTCGCTTCTCTTGCTAAGATACGGTACCAGCCACGGCGGGCACACGGGCTCTTATGCGGCACCCGCAAAATAGATTTGCTGGTGGCGAACTGGTCGACTTCGAATTACCGGCATATCGTGGCGAAAGCCTCGCTTCGTCGAGGTGCCTATACCGGAAAATACTTGGAGGATGCTCGTGAAAAGCAGCCCTCGCAGATGGGTCGCTCCCATCCGATGGCCTCTAGTTTGCTAGTCGTGCGCTGCGGATTGGTCAACCGGCGCCTCTCAATACCCTGCTTGTGCTTGCAGATAGGAATGCCTTCCTCCGGGGACTCGAGGTGGAGGTGCGAGCTCGCAGTGGCGATATATCCGCGTGGCTGCACCGGTGTCGGGGGGACACGTGTGTTACGCACGGCCCCGGCCAACCACGAACCCAGGCTGCGGTCTTGCTGGATAGCGCGATCCACCTCGATCTGTCTCACCCTCAGGATCGCCTGATTCGCCTCCTCCTGGGTCTCGCCTGCCAACACCGCCCGGCATGCGACGCCGGTAGTCGCGGCTCTGTGCCGGCCCGCCATACAGTGGAGTAATACGTTGTGGCCCGCCAGGAGCGTGCGTGCGATTGCACCGAAGATGCGGAGCCACTCTTCCTCCCGGGACCGCCTGGCAGAGACGTTGAATAGCAGGTTCCGGCTGCACAGGGCTATGCCGCCCCGTTGTTCCGGGGTTTGATCCATACAAGTAATCTGCAAATGGATCGTCGGGAATTGGCCACTGGTTTCCCGCAGCGGCAAGCCGGACAGGAAGAGACGCCCTCCTGCCGGCGATTCCCAAATATAGGTAGGGCGCTGGACTGGGCGCCTGCCCGCCAAATTGTCGAAGACCGCCTGGTTCTCAGCCTCTGTGGGGTCCGGCGCCGGCGGGGTCCTGAAGGCCTTGGGCATGGCTTTGATCTTCGGGGCAGGTGAGCTGCCCGAGCCCCGAGCCGTGGAGCCTGAAGCTGCTGCCGTGTCAACCCGGCGTGCTGGAGCCGGTGACTCGCGCCGGGGACCCACACCTGATCCTGCCCGTCAAGGTAACGCCCCGGGAGGCGAAGTCAGGGGAAGCGGGGGAGCCCCATCAGCACCTGGCACCACCCTCCTTCTGGAATCTCGCCGGCCATCGCCCTCGGCCGGTGCGTCGGCTGGACGCCGTCGGGAAGCAGGCGTTGGCTCAGGCGATTGTCCGGGGACGACATAGCCGGGAGGTAGGCCATATTTCTTGGTGCGGCAGTCCAGGGCCGCATGCTTCCCGCCGCAGACTCTGTCTGTGGAGAGCTTGGTGGCAGCGCACCTGTGAAGGAAAGGGCAGTCGGAACCCCGCCGACAGTTGCCCAAATTGAAGCCGGTGCACAGCCGGCCGCCGTCCTTGAAGTTCTGCGACGTCTTGTGGCGACCGATATAAGGCGGCATGGGGGAACCTGGTGCGGGCAATTCCGCAGCCGCCGAGCTAGGCCGGGCCGAGCTGCTCGCCACTGCTTTAGGCTCGGCCCTTCGCTTCGACCGCAGCTTCGCCAGAGGTAGCACCGGGCCGGCCAAAGACTTGCGTGCAAGAGGGGCGGCCAACCTCATGGTAAACTTCTTGGGCTTATGCGCGGCGAAGGCTGGTCCCTGCCACAGGAGCTCCTTGTCAGCCCTGACCTGTTGGTCGCACAAGGACCGGGCCAAAGTCGTGTGCTCTGCGACGTCCTGCGGGGTCACCGTATCCCACGTCGGATAGGGGCGCAACTCCCCCATGTAGGCCCACACCAAATGCTTGACTCGAACGCTCTCCTTGTAGCGCAACCCACTGTAGTGGACGGGCATGGCGCTCCTCTGGTCAGAGACTCGATCTTGCCAGTCCCCAAGGGCGTTCGACTCGCCCGGCGTAAGCTGTGCCAGCATAGCCACAGAAGGGCCCAACCGGCGCCAGCTATAGGAGGTCAGCTCCTCCGGATTGGCCACCACATCCGTGAAAGCCGCCTGCACGGCCAGGGTAGACTCCCTGAGGGACCACGAGAAGCCCCGAGCATCGAAGCATAGCCCACACTGGCTCCGCCGGCCTTTGGGCAGGGCCTCGAAGGCTTCTTTCCAAGGTTCGGTCCAGTTCCATCCAGAAGCGAAGGCTGCCGGAATGGCAAAGTAAAACCCCTGCCGTAGGCGGCGCTGCTTGCCCTTGTTGCAGAAGGCATGCACGGTCGACCCCGTGATGCGCAGGACCTCGCTTCGCCGAAGGTGGGCATACCGCATGCAGCTGGAGGCCTGCATCCATTGCCCCAGCATCGCAGTCCACCGAGGGTCGCCCATAATGCACCGGTCCTCAATAACCTTCTCCAGGTGGACCAGCATCGGCGGTTCGGCCAATGTGGCCTGACGCTCGTCCCTAGGCTTGCGGCGCTGGTCGGTCCGGGGTGCATCCGGAATCTTCCAGGCGAGCTCCGCCTGCTTGGCAGCCCACCGCAAGCCCGCCACAGCACGATGAGGAGCGGCCGAGTTGAATATGAAGGCGTCCAGGTCCAGGGTGTCCACCTCTTCCAGCCCGTCTCTGCCCCGGGCGACCTGGAAATGCTGAAGCTCGCGGAGGGAAACCACGGCCTTCTTGATCGTGGCCACTTCCGCTTCGCTGCACACTTTGGCAGCACGGCGCCTCACAAAGTTCTCCCACTCAGCTTGGCGTCCCGTGTTGAGCTCACCGCTCGGGCGCTGAACCTTGGCATCTACCCACAGGTCGGCGAGTTCCTCGACCAATGGTGTCTCCAAGGCAGCGCGCTCCACAGGCGTGCGGGCTTGCAGCGGTGCCTTGGGCACGGCTGCCCGCCGCCGCGGCAAAGGCGGGCGGGGCTTTGTGGAAGGTTTGGCCGCCGCCGCTCCGGCTTGGGCCGCTTCGTGGGCGAATGCCAGGGCCTTGCCTTCATCAACCCTCTCCCGGACTTCTTTCCAGGCTGCCGCGATTTCTGCACCGGCCTGGCGCTGTGCCTCCTCCGCCGACATGAAGACATAGGCGAACTCCTCGTCATCTGCCAGACCAAAAGCGCGGCGCCACGCATCCACCCGGACCTCTACCGGGGTACCCTCCCCGAAGAGTCCGGAAGACGGGCCGGGCTGGCCATCGCCATCTCCTGCCGCCTCAAGCGACTGCTGGGCGTACACACCGGCCATCGCAGCTGCTAGCAGAGGCCTGAGCCGAGAAGCCGCCGTGGAAGATGATCGTGAAGGCCGGGCAACGGCAGAAGCAGGGCAGGAGTACGACTCAAGACCGGGCGGGTCGCCACCGCCGAAGACAGCCCCAGGTCCACTCCTGGTTGCAGCCCTAATCCCAGGGCATCGGGGGTCGCCACCCCGGTATAAGAAGATGCCTGCGGTCTCCGCCGCGGCCGCCGGCTCCTGCCGGTCATAATAAAGGGAACGCCCCTTCCAGAATCGCCCATCATCACAGGCACCGAATGCAGCGGCCCAGGCAGTCTCCACAAGCCGCTGCGTCACACCGCCGACAGCGGAGGACCGTTGGCACCCCGCAGCTGTGGCAGGCTGCTGGTAATAGTCCCGGCCCGTAAGCCACGGCCCCAAGCCATAGCCAGATGGTCCTATGAGCCCGTGATCTTTCATCCTCCCGGGCAGCCTCCCAAGAAGGGACCTCGACTCCGGGCTCGATCCACACCCTCCTCCCAGCTTGCCACCGCCTGAAAACGATCCAGAGCTCGGCTGAGCTGGCTGCCCGAGGGTGGGTCTGTGCTGCCACCCGAGAAAAGAGCGCGTAGAGGTGGTTCGGCAGCAGGTCGGTAGGCCAAAGGCCCGAATGAAGGGCCGTGATGTCGCCCGGCGACAAATAGGAGCGGCATGCATGGTAAGCACTCCACGCTTGAGCCGGGTCACTCCCTGGACGGACAATCGCTGCAGCATGTGTGAATGTACCCACAAAAGGCAGCTGGAACCCTCCGCGGCTCTGGGCGCACCGGGCACAGTCCATGTCGACACACGGGACCGTGCGAATAGGTAGCAGACCTGCAGGTAACCCGTCGAGCAATGGAGGGAGAGGAGGGTAATGTTGGATCTCGAGAGCTGATGCCCATAGCCTGGCTGCATCCACATTCCGACCCTCGGAAACCAAAAACCGAAGCTGAGCCCTGAGATCCAGCATAGCCGCTGGGTGCAACACCTGGGCCTCGGTATGCCCCGCGAAGCGGCTGATAACATAGGCAAGAACCTGTACCTCAGGTGACTCCTGATCAAAGACATGTGCTATAATATGCGGGTCGACTCCGCGAGCTAATGGCAACAAATCCTGCCTTTTTGGCTCAATTACCAAGGCTTGAACCAAAAGGCATGATATCGATCGCAGATGATACATGTGCACCCAAGCCTACCAAACTCTACACATGGTATAAGTATCCCAAATAATTAAAACTATATTGTAAAGATTCCATTATAAAGTACCCCCATTTTCAAATTCTATCAATCATAACGTTAGAAATTTGAGCTTATACGACTGGCAATTTATTTTCCCAAAAGAGAGAAGTAAAGCCAAAAAGGATCACGAATAAGAATCAAAAGAAGAAATATAATAACCGCAACAAGAAATATCGGAGATAAGATAGCAAATTAAAGATCAGAATAGCAAATTAAGGGCAGCCCTCTGAACCAAATAACATTATAGAATCGATATATCAGAGCCTCTTGCGCCCACAAATATTCTCATGGTCACGCAGCACAATGCAGTGCAACAAGTGCGGGAGCACGATAATCCAGGCTCAGAAAACCGAAATCTGGACTCCTCCGCACCCTGGACCTCAGAGAGGTCAGAGCACGGGTAAGGGGAAATACGATTCTCGAAATTTTCAAAGTTCAAAGTACCAAAGCCTACACTCCCCCCCGGTTCCCACCCGCCGCTCCGACATCTGTATTCCCCCGCGCCCGTGCCCCCCCGCCCCCTGGACCCCAGAGGCCGAAGCACGGGCGCGGAGGAGTACGCCGGAATCTGTACTCCCCTGCGCCCGTGGCCCCCAGCCCCCTAGCCCAAACAAGGACATCTCACAGCTCAGAATTCATTTGGAGAGCGGCCGGGCATGTCCTTTTGTGTCTAGAGTGGCTAAATGGCTTGGCAGTGTTTTGGGGCCCGGATGTTGATGCCGAACTGCCAGTGCCTGCTGCGAACCAAAGCCTCAGCACCAAATCGGCAAGGACCATCTTGCGGTGCAGTGGGTGCCGCACGGTGCTCGGGAATCTAAGACACAGTAGCAAGTAGCAGTGGCTGCACCACGCCATCTTTTTCATGGAATGCCACACCGCGAGTTCGCTTCACCGAAGTGAACTGGTCATTTTCTGGATACCCATGGACCTTGGTATAGACCTCGGCTGAGCAAGCATTCAGTTGCATCTCGACACGGTGAACAGGTCTCCTAAGAAAACAATTCGACGCAACAACAAACTGCAAACATTTGGCAACGTCGTTTTCCTCTCACCCTGCCCACGGGAACTGTACAATCCCGGCGACAAATGCCCGTCTACATGGTGCAACATGGCACCCATGGCTCATGGAGTCTCGCAGAGTCACTGAGGCTCCTCTGGAGCGCTTGTGCTTGAAACATTTGGAACAGGCCTGTAAGGTAGTGAACGTATGTGGAAACATCCACAGGGCTGCTCCGAGCACCACCTCCAGAAACGGCTCATGTAACCCTTGGAGACAGTTCGGCTCGTTTCCCGACTTTCCTGTGCCTGAGAACCCGGAGGCTGAGGGATGCGGGCTTCTCTTGGACTGTAGCTCTCAAGGCTTAAAATGCTGGCAACTGAGCCGGCTGAGCCTGTGGAGAAGGCATCCTCGTCTGCAATGTCACTGCAGATGCTCGAGTCTCGACCATCGGACAAGCCACCAAGACTCATTGCATCCATGCGGTCACATTCGTGCACGCACTGTCGACGGGTGAGCTCCATGTCCTCGGTATTCTGAAGCTGCTCTGCAACTCGCTGGGCCCTCTGGTAGGCCCTTTGGAGGGCGAGGGCATAAGATTCCTCAACACCTTCCATCGAGCTCAGCGCCTGTGACAGCAGAAGAAGCTGCTGTGTCTTCACGTCTCGGGCAGCAATCAAATTTCTTTGCTGGAGGTATTCGGCGACCTCTCGTTCGAGATCGGAAGCCCGGCGGAGCGTGAACATTGCTTTCACTGCTGGATGTTCCTGGGCGCGCCCACGGTCAGCAGTGGTCGTCAACTCCACAGAGCCCGAGAACTGCACGGTGACTCCGTTCCTCAGATACGATAGCATCCACTCTGCGGCCCTGATGCTCCTGCCTGGGCCAAAGTCTCCGGGAGGAGAGCTCGTAAGCTCGAGCAGCACCATGCGTTCGTTGTCCGCGTGCAGATCCCCCAAATGCAAGAGGCCTGCGCTAGCATTGGACACTTCCTCGTCCTCGTCATCGCCTCCGTAGACCTTGTCAACGACGGTGTGCGTGCCCCCGCGAATATCTAAAACAGCTTCACTGCCAAACAGTTTCAAGAGGTCGTGGACGGACTTCGACACCAATCGAGGAATGTCAGGAGCCGTCGCAAGAAACGTGTATCGGCCCTTGCCAGCTTCGGCGATTCCACGCATCAACGGCTCGTCAAAGTCCGCTCCGATTCCAAACGTGGCCGTGGTTATGCCCAACTCAGTCCAGGCAGCAACTTCCCTGCAAATATGCGCTGGGTCTGTGACACCCGAGTTCACACATCCATCACTGAAAAGAAAGATGCGCTTGACCGTGGCGTCGTCTGGAGTACCAGCTGCGGTTGATGAGCCGAGCAGATGTGCAGCAGATTGAAGACCTCCGAAGAGATTGGTTGATCCACCAGGTCGCACTGCATGGATCTGGGTCTTGAGATTCTCTTTTCCTATCTCTGACAGGTCACCGTCTGTGAAGATGGTTTCGCTTACCTGGTCATAAGTGATAAAGTGGAGCGTATCCTGAACGTCCAAGTGCTTCACAAGTTTCGCACAGGCACGCTTCGCAAAGGCCAATTTAGCTCCTCGCATGGAGCCGGAACCTGGGATTTCGAGACACCCTCACCCAGACTGTTCGAACAAAAGTCTCACAACTCAGTAGCCTCTGCCGAGAGGCGGTCCAAGACACATGCCACCTCTATTGGCGCGCGGCTCGTGGAGCTTTCAAGGGGCGGCGTCTTGATGCAAATCAGAGTTCGCACGGTGTTGCGCGCCCCGCAGAGGACGGTCTTGCCTGACGCGCAAAGGAGAGCAAGGCAGGGCACCCCGTCTATTTGGACACTATTCTGGGCAGGTCGCACTCTGGAAGAACTGCCAAGTCCAAATCCTCCGCCTCTGCGCGCGGAACTGCTTCCGCCTCCGGCTCTGCTGACGCCATTTTAAGACTCCTATCCAACTACGACGACGCTAAAAGTTTGTCGAGGCAAGCTGTGTGCAACACCTGGCCGGTGTTTGAGCCGATCCCGCTACATGTCGGATCATGTCGCTGAGTACTCAGTAGAGTCACTACAGCGCGTTGTTTGGGCGAATCTTCTTCGGCAAGACTGTGGACTCATCTCATTCTCAACAGGGTTGCTCGCCCACGCCTGCCCAACCACCTCAGCCTCGACCGAACTGCCACTACGGCCTCTGGGGAGCATCGGTGTCATGACAACAAGGACGATTGCGCTGTGCTGTAGCAGCACTGGAGAATCTTGAAGAATTACTGAGACTGCCTGAACCACCATCCTCAACTCCTCAACCCTGCTGGAGTCCCAGCAGCTAGACTCTGAGTGCCTGTCCTCACCATCACTGCGCTTCTCAACCTCGAGGGGAGGGGCATGGGAGCATCGGACTCAGCTTCGCCAAGGCTTCGGGCTTTGGACCTGACCTGCAAAAAAAAAACCACGCGTGAAAGATCCCGAAAAAATGATGGCTCACTGAACCAAGAGCGGCTACTCATCGGGGCAGGGCTACGATCCAAAGAGATGCACCCGTTGCCCTTGCAGCTCGGAAGAAGCGCCTTTTCAGCTGGCTCTCGCTCTCTTCGCGTCTGAGCTGTGACCAGGATTCAGCGTCGCTCGCCGAATAAGGACAGGAGATGCAGGAACAGGTTGATGATGTCCAAGTAGAGATTCAGGGCAGCGAAGACATAGTCATCGGGGTCGATGGCGACCTTGTGACCTCCCCATTCACCCAGCATCATCTGCGTGTCGAAGATGACGGCGAAGGAGAACACGAGGACGCCCAAGCAATCGTAGATCATCGTCGCTACTGTGATAGGTACGCCGAAGAGCGGCAGGAGCCCCAGGAGGAGTCCAAAAATAAAGAGTGTGAGGAGACCCGCAAAGAGGTAGGGTGCAGAGCCCGTGAAGTCTGTGGTCGTCTGGAAGGCGTAGGCTGTCAGGGCAAGAAAGATTAGGGTGGTCACGCCTGCCGCCAGAAGTAAGCTTTCCGGCGTGAACATAGCACTGACAACACCGATGGCCATTGCCTCGAAGGCAGTGAATGTGAAGAGAAAGAAGTAGTTGGTAGGGTATCTTCTGAGTTGCTCACGACAGCACAGCATGACGCACATTACTGAGAAAGTGCCCAGCACGGAGACCAGAAGGAGCCACTCATGGCTCATGATCCAGGATGCCACGTCGCCTGAAGCTGCGGCCAACAAGACGATCTCTGCAGCAATCAGCACGGTCATGGCCAGTTGCGCGGAGAGGATCCCATAGACCTTCCTTACGAAACCCCTCCTAACGGCTTTTCCTGCGCTCTTCAGAGAGAGGTTTTGACCACCGCGGCCGCCGCGCAGCAGGGCCTCTTCCTCCTCATCCAACTCCTGCATCGAGGCGGGAGGGAGCCGTCGTCCCGCCGAGTTCGATCTCGAGAGTAGCCCTTCCCTTCCGGTTTGGGTTTGGGCCTAAAGCAGCGGCGTAAAGCAGTGCAAACACCTGAAGCCGGGAAGCCTAACTCAGCCGCGATTCCGGAAAGTCTGAGCCGCCCTGCGCTGCTCTGCCACCCCAAAGGCCACAGACTGGCACCGGCTCGCTCTGCATCCCACGAGCTTGAGACGAAACTTGCACAGACGGGCGGAAGTGCGGAAGTTCTGCATTCTGCGCTCCCGGTCACGACTTTTCCGAAATGGACGATCTGTTGGCGGGACCGATGAGGGACAATGTGGACAAGTCTAAGGTGTCCACACCGGCCCGGCTGCAACGGCACGGAACTCTTCCGATGCTGAGAAACTGCGTACGGTTCCAGATAACAAAAAACTGGGATGTTGCACAACGGTGTGTGGCATTTCGTGGCCCTACAGTGGTGCGATCCACTGAAAGACCACTTCAAGGGAGATGTGCAACAAGGCGTGCCAATGCGATCCTGCTTTCTCTTCCTAACGGGAGGCTCCTTGCACATCTCCCTCGTGCACCTAATTCAGTTGGGCATTCTCAGGGTTTCCATGATCTCGCAGGTCCAATATACGGCTTCGGGCAAGTAACTATCTCCCGAACAAATGCCCGAACAACTGTGCCTCTGATACCCACTGACACGGCATGGACAGCCATGACTTACGACTTCAACTAAAATCAGCCCTTCCTGTTCAACCCCCACAACATCAGCCAGGCGACTGATCCTTTGACGCTTGAAGCACCGTTAAGAAAAAACTCAGGCCCTGCTCCACGGGATCTTAATCTCATCGATTGGGTGTTTCTACGACTTCATACCAAGGTTTGGAGCCGGAGGGAACCCGGATCGAATTCCAACCTTGCAGCGAATTTGGCCGCGTGAGAGCGGCGCGGTTCGGCGACAGCGACGTGCGGTGAAGTGGAAGATTCCTAACCAAGCCTACCGTCTTCCGTCTCACTAAAGCTACTGGTATCTTTCTTCAGCACGCAGCCGGTATGACTGGACACGGCAGAGGCGAGGCTCAGCGTCGGCCTCGAGAGGCTTCGCGAAATCCGAGACATGTCGGACATCGCAGCATTAAGATAAAGCCCTTCTGTTCTGGTCGAACCAATAGCTGACGACGACGACGACGACAAAAAATTGGAGGCGGCAGCTGGCTCAGCTGGCATGGGTGGCGATGGTTCCGAGAGTGGCTGTCACGCTCATGATCAAAACATCTTCCTCACATCATAAGTATTCTTCCGACTAGGACTCTTGTATATGACTGGTACGTGTGTATCCCTAAACCCTCTTGGCAGCAAAGCAGAAGATCCAAGGATGGCACCAAGGTGGGGTCGCAGCTGGGCAGCCTGAGGCCGCTAACACACCAGTTCTTTGCAAAAGCAACTCAAGGGTTTGGGGTTCGGAGTTTTACGGGATCGTCGTCCTCGGAAATGTTCGCATTTTGGCTGCAGCTGCAGAAGCCAATACCTTTGGGAATGTACCGGTATCCCCGTCCAGCTCGGCAAGGGAGTTCGTGCCTTGTCTTGCTGGCGCACATGCAGCCGAGACTTGATCAAGCATAAGTCTGCAGGAACCACGTGTGGCAGAACGAACATCAACCGTCAGCACGGACATGATGATGATGATGATGATGATGCCGATAATGATGATGTTGATGATGATGCCGACCATGATGGCGATGATGATGATGCTGGTGATGATGGTGGTGATGATCATGCTGGTGTTGATGCGAGGTGATGGCGATTATCATGATGGTGATGATGATGATGATGATGGTGACGAGGAGGACGTGGAGGACGTCGAATACGCTGAGCACGACCGAGTCTTGCTGTAGTTCCTGCGATGATGTCAATGCTGTCATCAGTCTGATGCGCCGGCGCTGGCCTCGGCAAGCTCACGGCGTGCCTCCTCCGCCTCACAGGGCTGTGCTCCAGCTGAAGGAGGAAACTTGCACGAGGTTTAGGATTCTGGGCGCATCCTGGCCTTAGCCTCGGCTTCTCTGGCACGGCGCTGGGAGTCCTTGCACCCGGCACCGCGGCACCGCGTTTCCCCTCCCTCCTCCCTCCTCCCTCGGTCCTGCAGACACTCGCCCATGCCGCGCTGGAGGCTCTCCAACGTTAGCACCCGGTCTCGGAGCTGCGTCACCTGGCTCTGAGCCAGGCTTCGATTCTGGAAACAGGTGCAAACATTTGAAGGGATTGGGGTTAGGTGGAGGTGATGGGTTCTAGGGCCTCCAAGGCGTGAACCGAAATCTCTCGCCACCAAGTTAAACTGGGGCGCGAACCGAAGCCTATCGTTTAGTAAATCCCGACGCCTGAGGCCTTAAGGTCTGAAGCCCCCGAAATCTCCCCCGGCCTCATCGTACACCCCAAAGTGGCAAGCCACAATCACATGAACAGCACGTGCAGAGGAAACCCCGAAAACAACGCAGGAGGGGACGGTGCCTCGGCGACCTCCTCGGCGAGGCGTTGGATGCGGGAGGCCTGGTCCTCTGCTCTCCGACTTGGGAGCAGAGCCCCGGGCACAAGAAGCCCATTGAAGCCGCCATCTCTGCGAGACCCTGACTCTCCCTGCGCCGCTCCTGGTTCCTCGCCTCGCCCTCTGCTCCGATGCGCTCCAAGTCGTAACGAAGCGCAGCGTTGGCCACCTGTCGTAGCGTTGGAGTCTCACTTTGTTGCTGAAGATGCATTGCACATAGGGGGGGAACCCGTTAAACCATCCAAGCTTCAATCAGATAAATGCCTGAAGCCAAGAAACCCAATCATCGAAATCGAAGCCTGACCCATAAGCTGATTCTTATACTTCCCATGCCGTCAGGTCGCACCCAACGTTCCCAAACCCCAGAAGGAGAAAAACAGACATCACCCTCTCCACCCTAGCATGCCTGAACCTCAAGACTCAAGCCCTGAACCTGCCTAACTAGCCGGCAGGAACCCCAAGGCCCATTCTGCGCTGCAGATCGAATCGCCGCACAGTCCACCACTCGCTCGCCGACCAGAGCTCTTGAATCCGAAGACCCTAAACCCGAAATTTTCTTTAACCGGACGGTCATCTAGAAACCGTTTGCGTGCAGGTGGACTTTTCTGGATCTTCTTCTGGCCAGCCCCAAAAGCCGGCGTAGTGAGTTTTCGGTATTCAGCCCCCTGCCAGCCCCGTGCCATGCAGGTCATTCTCCCGGTCATGAAATGGCTTCACCAGGAGCTGCAGCTGGTGCATCGCTTCCATCAGGATGCCGTCAAATCCTAAACCGAAACCTGGCTACCCCCCCCCTTTAACACCATAAGCCTGCACCCTTGAACCTGACGGCCTATGATTAGGACGAAACCCGACGCTTTGCTAACCCTGAAGCCCCTTCAGGCTAGACCCGTATCCCCCTTACCCCAACGAAAAGCTTCAGTTGTCCCTGCTTTTCGAGCAAGATGTTCCCAACCCGCCGATGCATCGGTGCAGCCCAGAGTTTCCTGAAGTCCACCTCAAGAGAACACAGAGACAGCGGAATGCAAGCCCTGAAGCACCAAAAATAGTAGAGGTGCGATTTCTATTCTAGGGCCAATGTCAGCCCAACCCTTTGCCTCCAGTTGAGCAACGCGCTCCCGCTCCGTTGCCAACTGCTCCTGGAAACAACTGGCCATGGAAACAATGGCGACCATCAAGCTTCCGAGTCCTCTCGATTTACGAAGACGAATACCAGTGTAGAAAGCACTTGGCTTCAAACTCTTGGATCATCCGTTATCAGAAACGTAGCTGACGTAGCACATGTATCTAGATTCTAGATGCAAGCCTTCCCAAAATGGATCTGCTTTCCCAACATAATTAGTAGCAGTTCATGGCATCGCGACTAAGCGTTGAGCTGTTGAAATTCGAGAGAGAGGGAACAAGAACTTCTGGCAAGAGCTTTCAGCTTGCAGCATTGCCGGGCCTTCTTGAGCTGCATCTGCCGCCTCAACTCGCCCAGGCTCTCGGCAAGCTCCTGACTCGCCATCTTGGGTCAGAAGTCCGAGCCCATCTGCCGGAGATTCGGGGTCCCGGGGCCTCCTCGCCCTGCTGCTGCGCTGCACGCCGCTCCTCCTCCTCCCTCATGGTGCCTGAGCTGGGGAACACTGCTTCGGCTGTCAGCCTGTAGGTTGCCCTCGAAGATCCTCGAAGCACATTCGCCAAGTTTGGGGCCAGCCAAGGCTTCATTCAACCGACGCACCTGCCGAGTCGATAGAGCTTTCATGTTGTTTTCAAGCCTGCTAAGTCCGCCGAAGAGTTAAGAGGACGATGCGGAACTCGGCTGTCTGTGATTCAGCCTTCCCTCGCAGTCCCAGCTCCGACTAGACACGGAATCTGCAGCGAAGCCCAAATTGCACCTCTTCTTCCAAGGACTGCGCATGGCTCAGGCTGGCCGCCAGCTTTGCCTGCATGGATGGTCACCGCATCTGAAACGGACCCGTACAGTAGCCGGTAGCCCTTGTCTTCTCGATTTTGGCCGCGGAGGAAAATGCCCCAAAGCATGCGGAAGGGGGGCGCCTTCAGCTCTTCCGCAGCTTTCTTTGCAGCCTGCTTGGCTGAGCTTCGGCCACAGCCCTCGTGTGTGCTTCACCGCTTCAGGGGGGTGCGAGTACATTGGAAGCGAAAAACGAACAAGGCTAGCTTTGCCGGCGGCCGGTTCGGGGGCCATGTGCCGTGATAGAACTCAATCGTGCATGGCATCACAGTCTCTGACTATCTCAATGCATAACCGCTGGGCTGACGACTGCCTTTTCTACGCCGTCGGCGACCCTCTGGAACAGTCTACAGTAACTGGATGTAACTGGCACATAGAACTTAGAACAGTCACGAGGTCGCGGGAAGTTGGGGCGTTGGCGACACGGACCCATCGCAGCTACTTTACTTTGCAAGGGCTCTGACAAGTCTCATGTGCCCGTGATGGGTTCTGCAGTGCCTCTTCCGCCTTCTTGGCGAGATCCAGCTTCGCTGCCTCCTGATCCAACGTCGGTGCTTCTGCTGCGCTTCGGAAGGCTCATTCGCAGAGATCTGAGAGATACTCCGGTTCGGAGCAGATCCCAAGGACAGTACCTGCTCCTTGAACTTGCGGCTTCGTTCTTTAAGCATGCCGGCGGCCTGGCGGGGACTCCACAACATCGGGCTCACGTCGTATGCGGAGAGCCATTCACTCGCACACACTTCAGCTGCTTCCCAGAAGCTTTTCGGGGAGCGTAGGCATAGGCATGTGCAGCGGATGCAAGGTGTGTGTGCACTCGCACCCTCACACACATGCAGAGAGAGCGATGGGCATTGACAGCAGCATCTCTGTATTCGGCGCCTCCGTCCAGTCCTGCTCCTGCTGCGCATGGCGCTCGGCTGTGGAAGCGGCCTTCGCCGAAACCGAGGTTCGCTTCAGACCAAGGACCGCCGCGGATCGGCGCCTCCTCCTGAAGTTCGGCGATGCGCTGCGATGCGGCAGCAAGCTCCTTGGGCAGAACGGCTGTCGCTGTGCCGTACGAGGCACGCAAGAGCGTGCGAAGCTCGTCTCAACCCTTCAGACCCGTCAACACACGCCTCATGCTGCAGCGCTGCGGAGCCAGTACGTGCAGCCAGTTCCTCCGCATTGGCCCGCTGCTTCACGTTCCAATACCCTTTACCAGTTACCAGCATAATACATGCTCTGCGTGACTTCCCTAGCATGCCTGCTGCAAGGTGACACAGGGAGCTTGACGAGCTATACTGACTGGAGAGGTGCCCTGACCTTCTCGAGGGACTCCTGTTTGGCAAAGGCCTGCCGGCGATCCGCTGATTGGAGTTGGAGGTCGGCTACGAGTAGCACTGCAATGATCAAGATTCATGCTGGTAGATCTGAGTTGAAGGGACCTTGCGGAACACAGCATATGGGCACGAAGGTCACGAGGGCCAACGACACCGCTTCTAAGGCTTCCATGTCGATCGGCTGCTCTGAATGACACTGCATGGCCTATCGCACGTACCCTGAAAGCGTGCATGAGATTGCCTGCCCCCCCCCCCCTCCAGAACAGCTTTCTGAAACTCGTGCACCGGCTCGGATGACGCACTGTATCCATTGCATGCCAGGTGCGGCGGCACTTTGCCAGCCTCTGATTTCTGGAAGCAGAACTGGAAATTTACTCAAAATCGTAAGCTGCAAGGTTCCAAGATATTCAACAATTCCAGGACCTATCCACGAACATCCACGAATCAACCGATCTTCTTCCGTCTGCTGAGTCCTGATTTCTTCACGGATCCACCCTCAAGCACGAACTGCTCCGCGCTGCGCCAGCAGCTGGATGGCCGTGACTCAGCTCGTGCTGATCTGATCGAAGATGGGAAGCTTCGTGATGACAGATAGGTCGCGAGAGGAGTTTCACTCTTGGGTTACTTCACGGAAGCTGCCCATCTGGAAAACCGGAAGACGGTCGTCTCGCTTGAAAAGGTGATTGCCCTTTTTTGAGACGTCCAGGAGCTCCTCGTTCCGTGGGCCTATGCCTTTGTTGCATATATCCAAGCCGGCTCTCACATGTCTGCTAGCCGCTGTACAGTAAACACCCGCTCCCTGGCCGTTCCTTTTTCTCCAAGAAGCCCCTACCGGCACAGTCTCGCTTGAGGTCGCAGCCTGCCTTGCTTTTCATCTCCCGTGGCATCGGCAACTCGTGAGAAGTCTCCAAGCCACTTAAGATTTCAAGCTGCATATTATGATCGCGTTGCTTTTTGGCATAAGTACGTGCGGAACCGAGTTAATCACAACAGCTAAGCATCTACGTCTGTCGGAGTTCGGCATCTAGGTGCCGACTCGCCTGCATGTTAGATCAAGCTACATATGCAGTTGTTGTGCAGTCTGTTCTTCACTCTAGTGAAAAGCGCTACAGGAAACGAGGCCGCAAGTGGGCGAGTATTTGGGCTACTGGTGTGCTCTGGGCTCCTGAACTCAAACGAGCTGCAGCGAGCAGGTTCCTTTCTTCGCTTCTGCCTTGAATGTACGGATTGGCTCTCCTGGGCAAGAAGTTGCTTTGGTGAAGGAAGTGTTGACAAATGGGTCCACGCAGGGGCTGCTGGATACTGTCGCAACGTGATATGCGTGAAAATCTCATATTTGATAACTGCGTGACACGACCGTCGCGCATACACTTCGTTACTTCCTCCGTCGGACATGGGCCTGGTTCCTTTTGGGCATCTTGCTTGGTTGGACTTGTGCGTGCTCTTTGCTCCTTTGCACGGCAGCTTCCAGGTCTCTTCTTCGTGAGGGGGAGCGGGTGCGCGAAGCAGAGCTTCGGTCGTTTTGGGAAGGCGGCCGCAAGGGCCCTCTGGAGCTCTTGAGCTTGAAGTTATGATGCATCGGAAAGAGCAAGGCAGACTGCGAGGCGAATGAAAACATGCTGCCACGAGTGCGTGCTTTGTCTGCTCTGCAGATTACGCATCTGTACGTCCCAGACGGGAGGTCGCAGCATGAAAAGGTATGCACAATGTCCGAGCTCTCTGCCCGCATCAAGACCACCGAGCCACGCAGCTCGTTTTGGCGCGAAGGTTCCTCAGCCTGTGCTTCCCGAACCTCTCGGCATCCTCTTAGAAGCCGATATCACCCAGGCAATACCTCAATCGGCACGCCACTCGAAAAAGCTCGCGAGTTGATGCAGAACTGAGCTGCTGCCTTCCCTCTGCTGCTCCTTGCTCATGGCAACTGCTATGTCTTGACCGTAGCTTGCAAGGCAAGAGTCTCAATGTCTGCACACATGGTATCGGCCGTGCCCTTCATTCCGACGGGTTGGCGAACTGCCTGCGTGCACTCCGGTATCTTGCCCAAGCAAGCTCTTCAGGGAGTTCAGGCTAGGGAAAGCCTTAGGAAACAGTCCTGGGATATCGTGACACACGTTGTGAGCCAAACGCGACGCTTCTTCGAGAGTGACTGGGTTCCTCCTTTGCCCGGCCTTGCAGTCGTCAAAGTTCTCCGGGGCCAAGAGGACCAGGCAACTGGACAGTGAGAAGAGGGAACTGGGAAGGTGTGTAACAGATGCGCACAGGTTCAGTTCAGTTCACAATAAAGCCCAAACCCTAAGCATCCCAAACTTCTGACCAAAAAACTGAAGTGCTCCCAAGCCGACCCTTGGAGGCCTGTTGGAAGGGATGTCCAAGCTCAGCGAATCCGAGCAGTCGGATCGTGCTTTGCCAGTCCTGCAGATGTCACGCAGAACTCTTATGCCTTGCTCAGATTCGGACGTCGGAGGTCCAGAGACAGCTCGAGTTGCCCGGCCCACCCCCGCGGCCGCCATAGCGGCGGTCGTCGGAGTTTAGGAGCACCTGCCAGCCTGGCGGACTTGAAGAGCAACAGCCTTCATGACAGCAAGGAATCGCGAAGCTCCCAAATCAAGTCAACCCACGTCTCGGCACAGCGTTAGATCCTCAAAGAGGGCAGGCACGAGCACCAAGCCTCCCCAGTAGGGGCTGCCTGGGCTTCAGGGTTCCCCCGGACTGGCGCAGACTCCCACTGGATAGCCCGGTTCAGCTTGCTATCGGAGATAGCCAGGTTCAGCTTGCTATCGGAATCTCGCTTGCGAAGCTGCTACCGCACTTGCTAAGGAAATCAATAACTAGCACCGGCCTCAAGCACATATGGCTCTGACAGCACGCAGAAGATTACGTGCTGGGGCACCGATCGTATACCCATGGTGATACTGGCTGCCGAAATTGAAGACGGCCATGACCTTGCAATGGGACTGAAAGTCAGGCTTCCAGACGAGCTGGAGGCAACCTGATATCAATGCCTTGGCCCTGATAGCTTGCATGCTTGGGCTTGAGAGTATCACAACACATCACATCCCGAAGAGCATCCGAGCGTACAGCCAAGCTGCAGGTCTCTCTCCCTTCCAATGTCGGCAGAAAGCGATAACGCAGGCGCCTGCGTTGTTCTCCACCTTGGCATCAGAGCCCCAGTGCAGGCAACGGATTGCAAGCACTGCAACGCTTCGGTGGAAGTGGGTGTTATGCCGTTTGCTTTTGCGGTCCTCCACGGCATAAGGATGTCGAACGGAAGCGAGGCCCGGCAACTCCGTTGAGCCCGGACGCCCACTCAAAGCTCATCGAGCCAATGGGAAACTGTCGCGTCTGCGGAAAGTCGTCTCCCATGTGAAGAGGACCTCGCGAGACTGCAACGGAGGTCAGCAACTAGGGAGACTTGGAACAGAAAGCCACGTGGTTGCAGCACTGCAGCCTAGGCACGGTGGTGCTGATAGACTCCCAAAAGGTCGGCGAGCCAAACGCAAACTCCTGCCGATGCTCGTCTGTCCCAACGGCCCGGCTGAGGCTGTGGCGGTGACCCGAGAACTCATATTTGGGCCCCTTAAGTACACGAGTCGGGTCCTTTTCTGTGATCCTCCTCGCCCTCGTGCCAGTCCAGAGACTGGTAGCAGTTCCACTCGCGACCCTGGCCGTACTCCTGTCCTCGCATCCGCTGAGGCGAGAAAGCCAAACTGTTGAGCTTCCGAAGGGATCCGACGTATTCCGACGTCTTCGACTCATCTCCCCGCCTCGGGGGTGCCGAGTGCCAAATCCCAAACAAATGCCAGGCAAGGAGCCCATGAAAAGCAGCGGGCGCCCGGGAGCCGTGGCTTGAAAACCTAGGCACCAGGGGAAGAAAGCAGACCCAAGGCTTCGTGCGCCTTTGCTCTTCATCCTAGGCCGTCCTATGGCCTGACCCTGCTTCCTGGCAAAGGAGCCGTAGTAGGCGCAGAGTAAGCGCAACTTGTCGTAGAAGCCAAGTCCATCCTGGAAGGGCTGGAGAGGCTACCAGGTTGACCATTACACTTCGAGGAGCAGCTGCGTCGAAAGCATTTTGGGGACCCGGCCTTTCGGCCCATCTTTTCCACCAAGCTGCCCTTCATGTTCGCCACCTTCGGATCTACTCCACTTGCAACTTATCCCTTGTGAGCTCTTTCTCTGTGTCGCTGCGAGTACCAAGTGCGCTGGAACCCCTGCTGATGACTTCTGTCCCGACTCCTGCTCTTCCCGGTCCTCGTCGTGGGACAGGGGCGAAACGAAGCGCTCGTTCTGCATGTACCTTTCCAAAACAAGCGTGCTTGGCAACGAGGCAGACTTGCCGGGTTCACCGACCACCGGGCAGGAATGCCAAGGGGCTGAGATCGGATCGTGAGCTTGCCGTGATTGGAAGGCCTATTCCAGGCCGGCTCCTGCGATTGCTCGAAGCGACATGTCGGGACCTATGGGATCTGGTGGAATCCCAAACTAAACAAGGAACGACCCGGATCTTCACCCAAGCCTCGAGGTAGATGAGCGTATCCTGGGCTTTGGGGGTTTAGGCTGGCCCAGCTCATGAAGACGGTGGGGCAGTGTTGGTGCTGGGAGGCCTGGTGTGATTGGCGTGGCCATCGTTCAGATGGCAAGAAGGTCGGCACAAATGCTTGCCTGACTCAGCAGGTAAGCCAAACCTGCTTGATCGCGCACAAGCACGAATCAATCAAGGGGTCATTCTCGCAGACAGGTAAAGGTGAGACCATGGAAGCAGAACATCACTTGGGGGTTGAGGCTCAGCTGCGCTGTTCGACAGCCTGCTTTGGGTGGGCTGAGGCTGAGAAGTCGACGCTCCCGACCGACTCGATAAAGACACCCGGTCACTCTCCCCGCCTTGGGCCTCGCCACAGCTCCACTCCCCCTCAAGCTTCCGAGCGGCATTCATCCAGCCCAGGTCCCACTTGAGATCGAAGCCGAGGCCAGAGGAGACGTTCCTATCAGAGGAGGAGGAGAGAGTGACAGAGGTCTGGGGCACTACAGGCGCCGATCTTCGTCTGCCATTGTGCGAGCACGGCGCTGCAGCCGCTACGCTGCTTCGGGTGCAGGTCTCAAGCGGGGACATCCTTTTCTGCGTCCATTGCACGACCTGTGCTCATTGCACGACCTGTGCTCCGGACATCTTGGGCTTGCAAGGTCATCTACAGTGATAGATGATTAGTGCTTGCTTCCACAGTTGGGAAGAAGAGAAGACTCGTCTAACCTATTCGGGTGGCATCACCCTGTTTGGGCGGTATCACCCTTATCATGTGGCAATGCTTTGCATTGCCGTGTAGAATCAATCACACCTCGGCCGGCTCCTTTCCAAGCTCCACCATGTACTCAAGATGCTTGACCAGCCCGCTACCCAAAGATGAGTAGGATCGGTAAGGCAGGCCGAACTCCTGAGACATGGCCAGGGGTGCAGGGTTTAGAGTCATAGAGCATCTGAAAAGGGACACAAGCACTGCTTTAGTCGGCTCCTCGGCGACTTCCTTGATGGTCGCCTGCACCGCCTGCTGGTGATTGTAACCTTAGATGCATGATCAACTCCTCAGTACGAGGCTATTTTTTGCCGCACACCGTCGCAAGCATCCAAGGAAAAGCCACGCGACTCAGCATAGGGAAGAGATGATGCTCAATCTGCATGTCCAGACCGCCGGAGATTGCACTAATGCCGGAATCGAAGTTGGAAGTCGTTGCCATCTGACGTTCTCCCCAATCCGCAGGCTCGCTGTAGACTCCCTCCGCTTCTGGAAACAAATGGTTCACGTGAAAGGCCAACATCGTCAGCATGCTCGCGAGCAACGACGACAGGAAAATTGATAGAAATGCCTTTCGCTTGTTCCTTTGCACAAAGAGCGGAAGCCAATGCACTAGAAGCACTCCAAGCACGACCCAAGCGCAACTGACACGCACGTTGCGATCATCGTCGACCAAGCGCCAGGATTCAGCGATCAGTCGCAAATGCGGAAAGAACAAACCGATTGCTGCATGTGAAGCCAAGGGGAACGAATGTAGTTGGCTCCAAGCGCTGTTGTTGGTGAGCCTCCACACGGGTATTAGCTGCTGTAGATTCTCATCTGGATCCACCAACGTTTTTGTGTGCAGATGGTGAAGCAGTACGTGCTCCTGCCACCAGACCTCAAGAGGAAAACCCAAGAAGCCCTCAACCACAGACTTCGCATATGCATACTGCACATTGGGCAGTTGTGGCAGGATGCTTCCATGCATTGCTTCGTGCGCCGCACCTGTGAGGACCAACCGAGAAATGAGATTCAAGACGCATGCCACTGGGGAGAAGGAACGAAATGAAATCTGGTACCACGTGCTGGTAAACATCAACATGTTGAAGCTCACCTTTGCAAGAATGGGGACGTTGGCCTGGCGCGGCTTCTTCACCCCCAAATCTTGCAGTTTCTCGCGTACACGAGACCTGAGGGTCATGTAAAAGCCGGTCTCCTCAAACTGGTAGTTGTAGTCGCTGTCAAGGACCTCACCGATCACGATCTCGGACGCAACCTCCACAAGAATGGAACCGCTTCGGACATGAAAAGAAGAACAAAGAGCCTGGGTCGCACGAAAGCCGAGAGCGCGCCTGGTACTTCTCCAGGGCGACGCGAGGGTTGTCGGAGAGGTGTTGTATCTGGAAGAGGATGGATGCATCCGTTCCCATGGTCTTCTCCAGGGGCAGCTTAGAGCCAGGATGCCTCGACAGCTTCTCCCAACGCCAACAAAGTCCCAAATCGATGAAATAATACAAGAACAAAGACTCAACTCTACGTCCCTAGAAGACCAGGACACCTCGAAAAGAGTGGACGAAAGTCGTAGTACAAGCCGTCTATCTTCCAGAGATCCGCCGCATCCCGCAGCGTCCTGTTTGTCCCGCAGACTGTGCCATTCACTGCACCGCTGCAAGGACTGCATGTGGGCTCTTGCTGGTCGATGTCCAGGTGCGCAGGCTCTTCAAAACGAAGGTCCACGCCCAGGAAGCCAAGGCAAACAATGGCTACCAAGACAGCAACAGCGCCATTGCGATGAAGGTGTTCCTGCATCGGCCTTGCAACTGCGCGCGCGCGTGAGGCGCTGCGCTGGGGCGGGGGGAGGGGACGAGATGAGGTCAGGCGCCGACCGCACGACCTCCGCCCCCCCAAACCCGTCCTTGCCTGAGCCAACGGCAACGCAGGTCGTGCTTTGCGAAAACACAATCCGGTCGCTGCTGGTGACGCTCCGAACACGGAGAGTTGAGGCACAAGTGCTTCTATTTCAAGACGAGAGAGTGAACTGCGTCTTCATGTTCACTGCACAGCGTGGACCGTAGGCCTCAGGGTCGTGACGCCCTCCCACGCAGTGGACTCCTCCGCGATCATCACCACACCTGCCCATCACTGAAGGTTTCAGACAGGCATAACTTTTCCCTCGTTCTTTGTCTGTTCTCCGTCCCCTTTTGTCTGAAGCCACCTGGCCAGAACTGCTTCATGGACTTGTTCAGCTCGCGCAGAAGTGACACGGCTTCCAAGTTGCTGTAGCCGCCATGCTCATTTCGAACCCACTCGTGATCGGCTTTTCCAAAGTTTCGGTAGATCCTTGGCGTGCTGGGCGTGCTGGGCCATCGCACTGCGCACTGTCGCGTCGCGTACCGATGTGTGTTGCCATGCGCAAACTCTGTCATCACACGCAATGCTCCCCGAGCGTCATGGCCGACACGGCGTCGCAGCGGAAGCCGTCAACGTGATAGCCTGAGATCAACAAACAAGGTAGCTGGGGCGCGGCTCTGCACCGCTCCGCGACCTCCGCAGCAAGATTCCAAAACCCCCCCTCCCTTCTCCCTTGCATGCTCTGCGGCGCTCGGCCCAGAAGAGCGCAGAGCCCACGAGGAAGCTGCGCACCTGCAGCCGCGACTTCACATTGAACGTCTCGGAACCCCAGACCAGACGAAGCCGCTGGTCTCAGCAGCTTGCCAGTCCCAAACATGGCATTTCATCAGTATGCGAAGCAACTGCAATCGAGAAAGCCCAAAGAAACAGGAGGAGAGTAGCAAGCCAACGGCTTCCCTCGCACCTCGTTCTTTCGGAAGTTGAAGATTTTCGTTCCCCATTGCCTTCACCAGAATGAACCGAGTAGGGTGCATTGAACCCAAATCGAACGCCAGGCCCCAAACCCGGAAAGGTCCGAAACTGTTCGCACGTGCATGCTTGGCTCATGATGTCTTTCCCGACTCGGCCCAACACTCACAGAACCTCTCGAGCTTCAAGCGGCAAGCGCCGCAGAAACAAGGGCCGGCTGGCCTCTGTTCCCCTTCACGTGGGTCCTGTGGTGGCAAACACGTATGGATGACGGAGCCTTCCGGCTGTTGAATGCAACACCCACTGTCTCATGCAGGTCTGAAGGTTTGGACCCTTAGCCACGAGAAACGGTCGCAGACCGCATCTCTGCACCTCGTACTCGTACGTTGGTGTGCCGTCAAAGTCGCCAAAACTACCTGAATGAGGAGGCAGTAAGGACAAAACCTGTGAGCCCCAAGCTTCTTGCAGGCGGGCTGCAGGCGTCCCTGCAAAAGTGCGCGGGAACAAAGTCCATAATTACGCCAAGGCCTGCCTGTCAAGTGCAACGGCTGGGGCCTCTGGAACTCCAATAAGCACGCGAGGTTGAATACGAACCCTTTCTAATCGACACGGGCAGGTGAGTGTCAGTGTCTACCCCTACATGCGTCAGGTGACGCGGTGAGACTGATGGGCAGGCCTTATGCAGCTCATTGATGAGGTGCTTCAAATCGTCAGGCGAGCCCATAAGGGAAAAAGAGCTGTAGTACCTTAGGAGGTTGGGAGTAAAAGTCCAGCAGGCTGAAGAAGACTGAGGCCGAGGTGCCCCGAGACTTGATAGCCCCAGGAACCGAGGAAGGGGTGGTGCGCCAGAGCCATGAGCTCCACCCAATTGAAGTTTAGGGCCTCTCAGAGGCTCCGGCTCACTGCGGGGCTCCGACTCCAAAAACCCGTCCTTGACGTGGTCAATGAGGGGCTGCGTGAGCTCCCTATAGCCTTTGCTGTGGCGTTTGCACAGCAACAAGTCGTGTGGCTGCAAAACTCGGAGCAAATCTTCGCCGAGGGACTCAAGAGCTCCCCCTCTGCACCGCGTCTCCACGAGGGCAAATGCACCTCGAATTTCCCAAAGCGTAGGTTTCCAGAAGGAGTTTCTAGACCTTTCCAGCGTGGCCTCGTAGATGGCCATGGGCTGCAACAAGGCTGTGTTGAGACGACCTCGCTCCTCACGAGCCAGCATCCACGCCTCGTCACCTGCAGTTGCAGTCACTGTTGTTGGGGTTCCTGAAAGATTCCTAGCTCTCCTCTCCGAGCCTGTTTAAGCCAAGATGTCAAGTTGCTCCCGCCGCTGCCCGTCTGGGGTCCGGGCCCCACTCGAATGGCTCTGGTCGGTAGTTGTCGTCACAGGCACTGACCACGGAGGCATTGAAAGTCTCGGACGTCCAGAATGACGTTGTGCTTGCAGCATGATGCTAACTCTGACAAACCGAGTCCGGCAAACAAGGCCCCATCTCCATTTCTTGGCCCTTTGCCCTACAGCGCAAACAGGTCTTCGTTGGATGCCGCCTAAGGCACGGGGCTCTTGTGTAGGTCGCTGGGCTTCTCAAACTCTTGTGCAAAGGGGTCCATCTTCACCTGAAGGTGCAGCATGGGGTATCTTTCTGTGAAGCTCCCAAAGCCTAGTCTTACAAGCAGAACTTAGAATAGATCTTGCAAGGCCAAAGTCGCGATGTCCAGGCCCCCCTGAGTATGAATCTTGAAGCCGTACCTGAGATCTGGAGCCGAATCCGAAGATTGGGAACTGATCTCAAAGCGAGGCTACGTGGATAAGTCTCCCCAAACTCAAGACTCAAGCTGTACCACTCTGACTTCTTCCACGCTGCGTACTTCCAAAAGGCACGTGCGACAAGTCAGGGCCGAAAGGAACCTGAGGCGTTTCAGCATCTACGGGGCAAGGGAAGCATGTGATGGACTCCTCATGGCGCGCTTCTGCCAAGCAGCAAAAATTTCCCAAAGGCCGGAGAAGCCCCCACCTTCGCCGGATGCCAGGGGCCAAAAACTGATTGGAGTCAGGCGGGGCCGCGGGGCCCAACCTTCTGCTCTGTGTCGCCGAGCCATCGGCGACGCTCGGCCATCCCAGGTGTTCCAATCTCCTGACCAAGGTCACATAATGCGCTTGGGGCCTCATGCGGCAACTGCGGACGTGAAGAATAGACCTCTGGCGACAGCGTCAAGGCACGACAATGCAATTCTTGAAATTCTTGGGAAAAACCCACAACAGTCCTACAACGCTGACGAATTGGGCCCTTGGTGCCCAGGTCGCAAACCGCAGGCCGCAAACGCCACCTGATCACCGACTTGGACTGGTGCATGATGCGAAGACTGAACTGCCGGAGTCCCTTGGCCAAAGGATTGCTGCCACGGCTCCGGCCGTGACTGCATGACAGCCCAGAGCATCGGCAATTGTAGGAAAGCTGCCCTGCTGCAGCTGCTCGATCTCCACCTGCCGACTCCCACGTCAACCCCCGAAACCCACGGCAAAGCCCCGCATTTTCCTCGGCAAGCAAGAAGCCGACGTAGCCAAAGCAGTCGTGGAGGATCTGTTCTCCCTCCTCATGGGAACACAATAGATTAGTGGATCCACTCATCAACCGTCTCTGGCCTGAACTTAATTCGCATGGAAACATGTGGGGACAGGGGCACAACAGCCCACACTGCGGCAAAGCTAACCCACTACCAGCAACTCCACCACAAAGTCCAGGCGTGCGCTGCTGGGTCGGATGGTTGGACTGTCACCACAATGCGAGTGTGCTTCATATCTTCGCACTAGAAAATTTCAAAGTTCCCGTGTCTACTTTTGATGACGCAACTTTCTGCTTTAGGACCAGCTTCAACGCGCACGGCCTCGATTGCGTACAGTTTCTAATCTTGAGTCGCACAAGGTCGAATTGCAGAATTAACACTTGAGGCTTTGCGTCTAATTCTCGCTTCTCTACCACATAGCCAGCTTGGTAGCAAGGAAGTACAGAGCCGGACATCCGCACAAACGTCCTCGCCTGCGAGCCACTCAGACGCGTTGACCATCAATCTTGGACAGCGAGGAGACTGCAAGCCCCACACGACCCTGAAGTTGCCCACAGGGAACCCGAACAATCTCTGACGATAGTTTGGGAGATGCCGGCTCCTCCGTTGGGGCGATCACGTAGTATCTGGGCAAGTGGAGAACCTCGGCACCCGGTCTCTCAGTTTATGAACATCGCTACGCTGCCTCAATCTGACTGTGTCTCGCCTCGGGCTTCTGCAAGCCTAAACCCTAAAACCCTCATCCCCAAATCCCCGAGGGCTAATTTCTGAAACCTCACACCCCCGCACTAGATAGACCTCTAAACCCCAAAGTTTCTGCAGAAGCCTTGCTCCTGGGGAGTGGGCCCCGCCCACCGGCGCCCCACCGGCACCATCATCGGGCGGCAGCCAGTCTGCCTTGAGGGCTTTGCTTGGCGTTAGATGTGATTCCGAGGCTTGGGGGGTACACGTCTCCACGCTCCCAACCCAGATTCTTGGGTCAACCGAGCGTCTGGGCAAGAGGACAGTCGCAACCAATCATGCATTCTAAACCTTGGCCGTGTTGCAGGCAGCCGCACCACTGCTTCGTAAAGCCACGCGCAGCGGCGGACCAGTGGAATCGGCCTCAAGGTCAGGAATGGATCAGAGAAGAACCTCTTTGTGCCATCGCCTCCTTCGGATTGCGGAGACTTCACCTCGAAGCCTGCGAGCCTCTCAACTGCGATTGCCCCAAAGTGCTCGCGCTCGACGCAACAGGCAGGCTACTGGTCTTGTTGCTGTCACTGCCACAGTTGCAGCCGGGGTGCTTGGATTCCTCGTCCAGCAACAGCTGCAGTTTGACTTGCTTCTTCTCCGCCTGACATAGGGGCTTGCATCCAGCAATGTAGCATTAGAGTCTGTCTGATATCGAAATCCGGTCGTGGATGTAGCTCAGTGCCGCTCCGGCCTCCCAATCTCTTTCCAGGGCTTGATGCCAGATGCGAAAGACATACCTTGCTCTGTGACCGTTTCTATTTCGTAAAGAATCGCGTTCACACCTGCAGCACGTTCGCGGACCACCCTCCACACCATATACTTACTCGCCAAGGGCACAGATCGGAGCCACTTTCGTCGCTATGGGCCAGCCTGAACCAAGGAAGCCACCACGCTGAGCTGATGACCGCAGGGGTGTTTATTGGGTGTTTTGGTCCCTACTGCCAGAACGATTACAGATCAACCAACATGGTTCAACTCGCACAAACCTTTTCTTTTCTTTCCCCAGGCTTGAGGGCATGCCTCTCTCTCTCCGTCTATCTTTCTCTCTGACCTGCGGTACAATTGTTCTGTTCGCACAAGGGGCAGCCAAGCTCTCAAGGAGGCATCAGTTTACATAACCCCACCTGCACGCCTCGCGACGCTTCAACAGTCAGTCCATCTGGGTGCCGGCATGATGTCCCAAAGGATGGTGAAAAGACAACGCGGCAAGCTCAAATGCCGTTACTTTCCATCTGCTCAGAGACAACTAATTCCACTGATCCTCTGATATGACATAGTGTTGCGCCCAATTCTGAAAAAATCGTCTCGTCTTGCTGGTAGCTGCTGGCACAATCCTCATCGTAGTGCTCGTTTGCATCCGGGTTTGCAGTCCCGCCGATTGATAAAATGTGGCCTCTATTGAAGATGCACGCCCATAAACGCCTTTCTTGAGAGGAATGACGAATCAGACCGTGAAGGCACTGCGACGCCACGCGCCAGTCGCTCCCCTCTGTAAAGGAGTTCACTGCACTTGGAGCAGCGTATCGGTCCCCCAGTTCTGTGGTCCTTCTTTCTGTTTTGTGCGCATTGTAGCCTGCATTGATACTGTAACGTTGTTGTCTGTCGTCGTCTGTCGTTGTCTTCCCCAACGATCTTCATGACGGTGTACGAATGGTGTGCTGCGTCCCTGCATTTGCCGTTCCATTCTCTCTTCGTTTTTCCGATCAAGTTTTCTTTCTTGCCTGAGTTGATTCCTCCTCGGCAACAGCAATGTCGAAAAATAGACACCGTACGAGAAGAACCGCACCATCCAATCCCGTTGATCGAGTTACCGAGCAACCCAATTCGAAACACAGCCTGCGTTCAGACCCAACAGAAACTCCACCCTTGCAAGTCGGTCGAAACTCACAGCTACGCTCGTCGCTTCTCTGGATGCCTGTGGCAGCCCAGGACGCTTCTAGGCTGCGCATGGTGCGCCGTGTGCAATGCAGAGACCGCCTCCTCCCAGGCAGCGTGTTCAAGGATGCTACAGTAGCCGCTGCTAGCTGCTAGTCTCATGAAGCGATTCAATGGCCATAGCATGCCGTGGTGAAACACAACACCCAAGCTTCGGAATGGAAGAGGCTACTGAGCTACTGAAGACAAATCCGCCTCGTCAAGAGACGCACCGGAGGGCCAGTTTGCAGGGTCCACAGCTACCGGCGTCATGGCTCGGTGGCCCACAACTCTAAAGAGGCTTCTTAGGTGAGTCTAGGTTGGGCTAATGCTGTGGCACTGTGCCGGGCAGGGCCAGCTGCTGGATGCCTAAACTGGCAGCAAGTTGCACTAAAGCATGATGTTCATGGCTGGGGGACTGGGACTACTGACATGGCTGGCTGCAGCTCGAGCTTTACAGCTGGGGCTGGCATGAGCACATTCAAGGAAATGTCGACGAAGCTTTAAGCTTGCTTCAGAAGCCAAGCTGCAACAACGCTGCAAATTGACCTCGTACCTTGCGTGCTTCAGGGCTTCTGCGCCTGCGATGCTCGCGACTGCTCCTCTTGCACCTGCACGCGGCACGATCTCGACAGATATACAATATGATAGTCATCATGGTCATCATGCGCATCATCGTCGTGACATGACGCAGGGTGTCGGAGATGAGGAAATACCGGCGCGAAACCCGGAACAATAGCAGAGAAGTTTGTGGGTGGTGTTGTTGCTTCAACAGAAGCCAGAAGAATACCTTCAAGAAGCTGGAGATCCCGAAAATCCGTGTGAAAGCCAACAAGACCTTCTGAACGTCCACAAAACATCGAAAACAGGCAAAAGTGAAACCCGAAATCTCGTGGGTCCGAAAAATGCACTGATTTCGGGATTGGGATCATTTGGGCGAACGCGCAAACTCTGGCGCGAAACTCTACAAATGACGAAAACCGGCTGGCAGAAAACGGAGCACCCCTTTCTGAAACTAAGCTTACGACGACGATTAGACGTCATCATCATCATCATCATTCTCAGTATCATCATCAGCAGCACCATCATCTCGCAACAGCAAAAAGGATCAGCAACTCTAGGACCCTACAAGGAGGATCATCACCACTGGCATCATTCCATCATCCGTGCCCTCGCGATCGTCATTGTCAACGGCCCTGTCTTTGTTGGATTACATCGTCGCAATCACCCTGATGCTCGCCGGCGCACTGTCAGTACTGACAGCACCGCCGCCATCAACACCACTCCCGCCAGAGTATGCTGAACATCACCACATAACACCACAACCATCATTTTCACAAGCTAGCAGCTAGCTCGCCATCTTCTGCAAACGTCGTCAGCAACAGCCACCAATCTGCAAGAAGAAACGCATGCAAGCTGCAGGCAGGTGACGATCGCTGAAGCGCATTCCATCAGGTTGAAACTCATCTTGAGGAGACCGAGCCCTAGACCCTAAAGCCTCTGGATCCTAGGCCCCAAGGTTGGACGCTTGCGGTCCGTGCTCTTCCGAGCCTCGGCCTGGCTCTCTTGGAGCTTCTCTTGAAGATGCCGCATTCTCGCCTTGAAAGGCGGACTTTCGAGAGTTTCAGAAGCTAAGGAAGTGATCTTTCTCTGATGGGACTTGTCCGGGAATCCCAAACCGAAGCCTCAGAATACCGTGGGAAGTCAGGGGGCCTCTGTGTTCGCAAGCGCCACCGTGGTCTGCTCTAGTTTCTCTTCGGCCTCTTTGGGACATCAGAGGCAAACTCGCCGGCATCGAAGGACTGAGAGCAGCAGGTGGCAGCAGCCCGGCCGAGTTTGACCTCTGTCGGCAGCCAGAGCCCGCAGCAGCCCGCAGCCCACAGCCTCCACCATTGCTGCAGCGGACTCTGCTGCGCCTTCTTCTCGGGCTGCCTCAAGACCGATGCACGCAGGAGATGCGGGAAATCGGATCCCAGATCCAACAGGTCAGAGATCATATGGATGCGCCTCCACTGCGTCCACGAGCAGGTCTGCCTGATCCTCGGCCTCCATGGACCAGGCAACGGGCTGTCTGACTCCAACCGTGATGGGCGCTCTCGATGCGCGTTCCTTTGCTTACACGCTGTCCATGCAGAGTAGGCCAAAGTCTTGAAGTATGAAAGAAGGAATGCATGCTCCGGCTGACCTCTCTACCACAATGACACCTCGGTTGCAAGTGCTTGAACGCCTTGCCGAAGCCTGTGATGTAATCACAGCTGCGCTGCAAAGCGAGTGGCAACGACCACGACCCTGCCATGAGCCTCTTTCCGGAGAGCCTTCAACTTGCTCTCCAACTTGGTCATTGACGCCTGGCAACTGCCGAAGAGCTTGGCTGAAGACCGAGTCGTGCGTTTGTCGCCGCGCCTTGAGCGAGGTGTTCTCCTTCGTCAGGGCGTCCGCCTTCACGTGGAGTTCTGCCACGGCCTGTCCGGATGCCGGTAGCAGGATTCAGAACACTTGCACTCGACTCGTGCGCAGAAAGAGATCTTCTGACGAGCCAACCCCGAAACCGAACGCTAAGTGAACCTCCTCTTTGGCCTCAAATCCTCCACAATATTAATGTATGCACCTCATCCCCAGACTTCCCAGACGCCGCCAAACCGGATCCCTGTTTGGAGGCCTGCAGCCGATCACCCGTGAGGCGCTCCTCGAGCTCTTCCAGCTCGGCGCGGGCGGCCTCCGTGCTCCGGATCCAGAGCCGATGCTGTGATTCCGGCTCCGGCGGCTCCGGTGACTTTTGACAAAGACTTCAGCTGCACCCACGTTTCAAAGCAATCAGCATCATTAGCAACTTCGGACCATGCTCGACTCGGTGCGGCAACCCAGAGCATCGGTTGGAAACATGTGGGCTATGAAACTCCTCTGTTTGTTGCTTCGGGTTGAAAGCCTTTGAAGCTCTTTTGTGGATAGCTCTGCCCGAAATGCAAAGGCTACAGGCATCTACAGGGAAAACGCAACACTGCCTTAGGGGACCCTGCTTCTGTACGCGGGGCACAGACTGCGCCCGCCTGTTGAGACGCCATCGCCTGCTTGGAATGCTCCTCTTTCTCGTCAGCCTTACAATGCGTTGCAGAGCAGCAACGTAATGCTTGCGATACGACACCAAACAAGTTTCCCCCTCCTCTCTTGACGTGCAACTTGCAACCTCTGCAACTCTGCCATGGCCGGCGGAGGCCTCTTTCCGAAGGTCCGCCAATTTCTGCTCCAGCGCAGAGCAGGAGGCCTGCAGAAGATCGGGCCAATCGAAGTGCTGGGATTGACAGTGCTGTTGCACAAGGCCAGTGCCAACCCATGGAAGGTGGATGTTGTACTGGGTACTAGTACCAGTAGTAGTAGTAGTAGTAGTAGTAGTAGTAGTAGTTGTTGTTGTTGTAGTAGTAGTAGTTGTTGCTGTTCTTGTGGTAGTGGTAGTGGTAGTGGTAGTGGTAGTGGTAGTACCAGTAGTAGTAGCATAACTTCGGGGTTGAGGAACAGTTTGTGAAGCAGGGCTTCAGAAGCAGACGAAACTTCTCCTGAAACAATCATGATCTCTCCTCTCAATTAGCAGCACTAGCCGGAACCGCACCTTCAATGACTCGTTCTCTTCAGCCATGGCGTCCGACTTCGAGTGCAAGCTCTTCACGGCCTGGAAAGTCGCTTGCCTTCTGAATCTCGACCGGCACAAAACCCAATGTCAGAGCTTCAGTTCTTTCTCTTGCGGCCCCGAATTCCGGCAATCCTAAGCCGCACAAGCCCCAAAAGGCATGCTGCCCCAAAGCTATGTCGAAGCGAGGTGCTCGATCATGATCAAGCTGGAGTCGCTTCTCTGCCTTCGAGGGTTGCAGCAGTGGCCGTGTCATAGCAGCAACAAAGGGGCCAGCTCTGGCGCTTCGCATCTTCGCTTTTCGCCGACCTTCCCAGCAGCGGCCAGCTCTTCCTCGGCTTCGGCCTTGGCGACCTGCGCTCGTGCGCTCGAAGGGAGTCCAAGTGAGTGCTGGCAGACCGCCGAACGCTCTCAGCCCTTGCAAGCCGCTACCGCAGCGGACTGCTGGAGGCTAGAGGACGAGACCACTCCAACTCGACAAGACAACGAGACGGCGTTCTTGCATCGCAGCTGTGAGACCAGCATCCTACATATCTGACCGCAATGCCAGCGCCTTCTCTGCCTCCAAGGCAGAGGTCAGCTGCTGTAGTCTTTCGTCGGCCTTCGCGGCACAAGATGCACTGCTTCAACGCGACTTGAGAAGGCAGAGCTTATACACTAAGTCTGATCTTTGACAAGTTGCGAGTCTGGTCGCTCCCGGTGAAAACCTAGTAAAGAACAGCTGAATCTTGCAAAGCACCTTTTGCGGATGCGCCATACGAGCTAGGCACTAGATGTGCTCACGGAAGCAAGGCGATCAAACCTGCGTGGTTTATAGATCTCCGGAAGGCTGGTAGCTGGACCCGAACAGGTGAACATCAGCAGCATCGTAGCCGCCCCGTTTCCAGCAAGTCAAGGCAAACCCAGGCGGCAGCATGCTGCTCGACCGAAGCCCCAGTAATCTCGTCCAGTGCACTTGCACCATCACGGAGGTGGAAGTAAGAATGAGCATCAGCAAAACTCAAACTGGCTCAACTGCTCCATGACACCAGCGGCTTAAACCCTGGCGGCAAAGCCATAAACAGGCCAAGAAGGAACAGCCAAGAGCGGCCAGCTAAAGCCCCCTAGCCTTGCAACCTGGACACTCCCTGACCAAGAGCTTTCGCAACAAGCCTCCTTCTGCGCCGAGGAAACCTTCTTCTCGAGGCGAGTCGCAGTCGCCTGCTTGGATCACAATTGTCAAAAATCGCCACAGAGAAAGCTCGCCGCCGGCCTTCAGTTCCTGGTTCTCCTTCGCCAGCGCGTCCGACTTGGCCTGCAAGCTGGCAACGACCTCGCAGTCGCATCACGCACAATTTCTCAGAGCCCACCCGCAGCCTCAAACAATGACGAGAGAAGCCTGGCTTTGCGTCCGAGCTGCCTGTCGTTCCTCTGCTTGCATCGGCACATCCTCACGCCGAAGATGTGGCGATTGGAAGCGCAGCCACTGAAACCCCCCCAAAACATGCAACATGCAACAGACATGTACGAGCACTTCGGGCGGAGCCTTCTGTTGCTTCGCCAGCTTGGCCTTGGAGCTTGCGGAGCAAACGTCTGCTTCGAGATGTCGCTGACATCGTTTGCACTTCAAGTGGCTTCACTGGAGCGGAGGAGCTTCTCCAGCTCGGATTTGGCCTCCTTGTCATCTGAACAGACTCTGAGCATGATACATGTGATACGTCACTGACGACATGTTCGAAGGCAGCGGTTCGGTTGTGGAATGCATGTCGCGCCTTCTCTGACTTCAACGATGATGACAGCTGCTGAAGCTCCTCCTCAGCCTGACATCTGGAGCATGCAAGAACGACCACGGCAACAATGCAAATTCGGTAGCACCAGCCATCCCAATGGAATAGAACTAGCGGTGTCATGTGAAACCGGCGCTCTTTTCTGCCTCCTTCTGCGCCGAGGAAACCTTCTTCTCGAGGCGAGTCGCAGTCGCCTGCTTGGATCACAATTGTCAAAAATCGCCACAGAGAAGGCTCGCCGCCGGCCTTCAGTTCCTGGTTCTCCTTCGCCAGCGCGTCCGACTTGGCCTGCAAGCTGGCAACGACCTCGCAGTCGCATCACGCACAATTTCTCAGCGCCCACCCGCAGCCTCAAACAATGACGAGAGAAGCCTGGCTTTGCGTCCGAGTTGCCTGTCGTTCCTCTGCTTGCAACGATACATCCTCACACCGAAGATGTGGCGATTGGGAGCGCAGCCACTGAAACCCCCCCAAAACATGCAACATGCAACAGACATGTACGAGCACTTCGGGCGGAGCCTTCTGTTGCTTCGCCAGCTTGGCCTTGGAGCTTGCGGAGCAAACGTCTGCTTCGAGATGTCGCTGACATCGTTTGCACTTCAAGTGGCTTCACTGGAGCGGAGGAGCTTCTCCAGCTCGGATTTGGCCTCCTTGTCATCTGAACAGACTCTGAGCATGATACATGTGATACGTCACTGACGACATGTTCGAAGGCAGCGGTTCGGTTGTGGAATGCATGTCGCGCCTTCTCTGACTTCAACGATGATGACAGCTGCTGAAGCTCCTCCTCAGCCTGACATCTGGAGCATGCAAGAACGACCACGGCAACAATGCAAATTCGGTAGCACCAGCCATCCCAATGGAATAGAACTAGCGGTGTCATGTGAAACCGGCGCTCTTTTCTGCCTCCTTCTGCGCCGAGGAAACCTTCTTCTCGAGGCGAGTCGCAGTCGCCTGCTTGGATCACAATTGTCAAAAAATCGCCACAGAGAAGGCTCGCCGCCGGCCTTCAGTTCAACGTTCTCCTTCGCCAGCGCGTCCGACTTGGCCTGCAAGCTGGCAACGACCTCGCAGTCGCATCACGCCATCACGCACAATTTCTCAGCGCCCACCAGCAGCCTCAAACAATGACGAGAGAAGCCTGGCATTGCGTCCGAGCTGCCTGTCGTTCCTCTGCTTGCAACGATACATCCTCACACCGAAGATGTTGCGATTGGGAGCGCAGCCACTGAAACCCCCCCAAAACATGCAACATGCAACAGACATGTACGAGCACTTCGGGCGGAGCCTTCTGTTGCTTCGCCAGCTTGGCCTTGGAGCTTGCGGAGCAAACGTCTGCTTCGAGATGTCGCTGACATCGTTTGCACTTCAAGTGGCTTCACTGGAGCGGAGGAGCTTCTCCAGCTCGGATTTGGCCTCCTTGTCATCTGAACAGACTCTGAGCATGATACATGTGATACGTCACTGACGACATGTTCGAAGGCAGCGGTTCGGTTGTGGAATGCATGTCGCGCCTTCTCTGACTTCAACGATGATGACAGCTGCTGAAGCTCCTCCTCAGCCTGACATCTGGAGCATGCAAGAACGACCACGGCAACAATGTAAATTCGGTAGCACCAGCCATCCCAATGGAATAGAACTAGCGGTGTCCATGTGAAACCGGCGCTCTTTTCTGCCTCCTTCTGCGCCGAGGAAACCTTCTTCTCGAGGCGAGTCGCAGTCGCCTGCTTGGATCACAATTGTCAAAAATCGCGACAGAGAAGGCTCGCCGCCGGCCTTCAGTTCCTGGTTCTCCTTCGCCAGCGCGTCCGACTTGGCCTGCAAGCTGGCAACGACCTCGCAGTCGCATCACGCACAATTTCTCAGCACCCACCCGCAGCCTCAAACAATGACGAGAGAAGCCTGGCTTTGCGTCCGAGCTGCCTGTCGTTCCTCTGCTTGCAACGATACATCCTCACACCGAAGATGTTGCGATTGGGAGCGCAGCCACTGAAACCCCCCAAAACATGCAACATGCAACAGACATGTACGAGCACTTCGGGCGGGGCCTTCTGTTGCTTCGCCAGCTTGACCTTGGAGCTTGCGGAACAAATGTCTGCTTCGAGATGTTGCTGACATCGTTTGCACTTCAAGTGGCTTCACTGGAGCGGAGGAGCTTCTCCAGCTCGGATTTGGCCTCCTTGTCATCTGAACATACTCTGAGCATGATACATGTGATACGTCACTGACGACATGATCGAATGCTGCGGTTCGGTTGTGGAATGCATGTCGCGCCTTCTCTGACTTCAACGATGATGACAGCTGCTGAAGCTCCTCCTCAGCCTGACATCTGGAGCATGCAAGAACGACCACGGCAACAATGCAAATTCGGTAGCACCAGCCATCCCAATGGAATAGAACTAGCGGTGTCCATGTGAAACCGGCGCTCTTTTCTGCCTCCTTCTGCGCCGAGGAAACCTTCTTCTCGAGGCGAGTCGCAGTCGCCTGCTTGGATCACAATTGTCAAAAATCGCCACAGAGAAGGCTCGCCGCCGGCCTTCAGTTCCTGGTTCTCCTTCGCCAGCGCGTCCGACTTGGCCTGCAAGCTGGCCACGACCTCGCACCCAATATTGCCGTTTTTGATGCTTTCCCTTGATGTACCATTCGATGCCCAGTCTGCGAGTCTGTTGCCCAAGCCTGACTGTGGTCAGCCTCCATACGCTGCGCCTGCCCCAGCACAACAGGAACGAAGTGAATTTGACATCCATTAAACACCTGCAACAGAGCTCGTAGCTTCCACCGATGTGTTGATGACAGCCACGAACGCATAAGCGCACAGTCATACTCGTAAGGGCTGCACGCAGTATTCGCTGGAACATGGTCGCAGAAAAGCAAAAGGCAAGATGAGGGCAGAACATAGAAGTGAATCTGACAAACATTTCGAAGCTGACTCTTTTCTCTGGCAATACATTGGTAGGTTCCAATTGGGACATCTATCAATACTTCACCGAAGGTTGTGGGCAACTACTTGCAAATACCCGCACGAAACAAGCTGCGATGCAGCTGTCATCATGTCGAGGTGGGGCGCACACCAAACCCGCATCATCAGTTTGCAAAAACATAGTCGTTATCCCACGAAAACTGCTGCAAAGCTTCGAGAGCCGACCTCCTCCTGAAGCTTCACCAACTTCTGCTCCAGCTGTACAGCCTCCAGAGGACTTTTGTGGTCACTTGCCACGAAAAATGCCTTGAGAGCAGTAACACGGAAAATACTGCCGGTGGAATGCATTGTGTTTGCTTACATCTTCGGGTCAACAAAAAGGCCTAAAGCGGCACGTGATGACCCTCGATGCACATCTCTCTGGGAAAGCCTTGGTACTGCTCGGATACGATGCCTGCGCCAGGGAAAGGCATCGATCTGCACCATAAGACAAAGAACTGGCCTGCGTCGATTCGGAGAAAGATTCCCGTGGTAATGTGAGATGTGCAAAGATGCGTTTGTTTCGAGCCTGCTTGGACAAGTCTGCAGCTATTTGTTCCCAACCTCGGCGAGAGGCGAGAATTTCGGGAAGGCATGAAAACCCCGTTGCTCACATCTTCCAGTCTGGGAATGTCTGCTGTTTCAGATTCACAGCAGCCGCGCTGTTGCTGCTGGGATGGTGCCTGTTTCAGTTCCATGTGGCCCAGTCATCCCCAATCATCTTGATGACGCAGAATTCGGCCTTAGCCTGCATTTTCGAGCTTCGGAGCTAGTTACAGGTGTTGTTGCTCTTTGCGGCATGTCCTGCAAGATCACTAGCTTTTCCAAGCTCCGGGCGCTTCTCGGATTCGACTTTGGCCACCTGCGGACTGAGTACAGCCATGGAGCCAGCAAGCAGGCCCGGAACAACATGACACGTCTTCATACATCTTCAGCACGTCCAAACGCAGGAACCTTTCCGACAGACTTCTAAGGCGCCAACCACAGCACGCAACGACGGAACATCTGAAGACAGCCGAATCTGAAGTCGACACGAACACCTCTGAGGTCTCTGCCTCCTCCTCACTCCACGGCCCTACGGCCCTAAGGAGGCGCCTGCTCCAGCTCCAGCGCCTCCGTCGAAAGCTTCAGCTCGGAGCTGGCCTCGACGGCAGCGCCGAGCATAAAAACCTGGGGAAAGCCTTGAAGACCAAAACCTACACGCCGAAACCGACAGACTTCTGCCACAACTTCGCAAGGTGTGGGGTCCCGGCTGCGGCACGTGCGGCGCGCTCCTCTGCAAGCTGGTCCTCGAGCTTTCGCTTTCCAGCCTGGCTGCTTCGCGGATGCTTCTCGAAGCGAGAAATCAGCGCAGCCTTCTCTGCTGCGAGGGCTGTGGCCAGCTCTGCCGTTCGCGCATTGGCCTGCGAAGCACTGCGAGCTGCCAGCTTGAGCGGGGGGGGACGGGCACTTCGCCGCCGCGTGCAGTTTCGCCGCCTCGGCCTCGAGCTCCGTCAGCTTCGACTCCAGACTCCGCCTCTCGGCCTCCAAGCTGGACCACGGGAAAACATGGGAAGACGGGAGCAAAAAGAGCGCGGCCCGGGCGGCCCGCGCTTTTCCACAGAGGACGGGCCTTCGCCTGCTTGGCCTTGGTCTCGGCACGGTTCCTCATGCTCTTCAAGTCGGCCTCCACGGCACCGCTCTGCGCAGGTTCGCTTCAGTGGGCTTACCACCGGCGTGCCTCATCTTCCGCAAACTTCTGCTTCTCCTGCTCCGCCTGAGACCGCGGAAGCAGAAGCCGCGGAGCAGAGATCTTCCGGATCGGCTGGCCTTTGCCAGGGCTGCCTGCAGCGCGGATCGCTCCGCCTGCAGCGTCGGTGGCAGCATCTCAAGTTCAGTGGGCTCTGAGTCAAGAAAAGCACATAAAGGGTTTGGGGTCCGAGGCTGGGGATGCTGACATGTCGGGTGTTGTTGGCGAGTGACTGTCACAAAGGAACTTTCGAAGTCTCACGAAACTCAACCTCCAAGCCCCCGGAAACTCGCAAAACCAAGAGTTGAACCCTCGTCGACGCGTAGCCTGCGCCCAGGACGGTGAACGGAAACCCAGAAACCCAGGCCCCTCCTGCAGAGCTTCCAGAGCTTTGCTTGAGGTGGCCTCGGCGTGACAGGATGGGAGGCCGCGGTGACAGCAAGGGCGAAGCCTATCAACTGCCATAGACCATCATAGACCCATGCCTTGCAAGGCCGAAACTTTATAAAATAGACCGGTCTTGTGCAAGCAGCAATGTCACGCTCCATCTTCGCCAGAACCTGCCAGTCTCGGCTACTTTGCGGTGACGGAACTCAAGAGTCTTGGAACTCGCATAGCTTCTTTAGATTGGGCAAGTGCCTCCTTCTCGCCTTGACGGCCGCGCCTGGTGGCTGCAACCTCCCATCGAGGTGAAAGGGCTCCGGCACCCCGCAAAATCCCACAAGCGAGAATCCCTGCTTTTCGCCGCTCGAGCTCGTGATGAGCAGCACAGTGGATCTTGAGCACAACAATTTCGAGGTGTGTCAAGGCTTATTGTGCTCTAATAAACATTCAGAACTCACGTGATCCTCTGGGCCGCAGCTCTCACTGTGGGCTGCGAGCAGCTATCCGCGTTGAATTCTTCTCCTGCAACGTTGGCCGTTCGCGTTCGTCCATTTGATTCAAGGGACTCTTTATGCACACATCTAAGTGTAGCTTATGCGCAGCTTCTGCCGTCCTCCATGAGGTGTGCCAGGGGGATCTGGCTCTGCAAGCTGCCGTGAATCAGCCGCCGCGCAGCAGTGGGCACCGTCTGTGTCGCGAGACATCTCTCTCCCAGTTTCAGACTCGAAAGTCTTCGAGGCCTCGCGCCTGAGGACGGAACTCTGCACCTCGCCACTCGCGCAGCCTCCGGAAATTCGCTTTGCTATTATGAAGGGGCAGTGCATCAAGGATTCACTGAGGATGAGTTCCACAACCTGCTCAAAGCTCTTAGTTCTGGCCCTAAGCACTTCCGACGTGTGCACAAGACGTCATTATACGTCATTTTGCCTCTGGCAGCATGTGAAAGACAACATTTAAGCTGCTCTCTGACTTCGGCACCTCTCCCTGGTGGCCGCCGTGGCGGAGGTCAAGGCGCGGACCTTCGTCGTATCCCTCATCTACACGTTCGGAAGGGTGCACCCGCGACGCCTGCAGGAAGGTGTCTCCAGAACCGAGGGTGCCTGGCAGCTGTCAGGCTTGTGTACGAATCTGAGATACAGCGGGGGTGTAGAGTTGAAGCCTTTCAGGCACGATGCTGCAATGAGACTTGTGGACATACCGAGAATGTGCGGGCTGAAACACCTCTCCAAGCCTGCCCTGCCTTCAGCAGCCCTCCTCAGCAGCTCGCGGGCATGCGTTGCCCTCACAAATCGGGAAAAAGCGGCGACACACTGGCGAGGTCCCCAGTAGCCCGCCTCCGCAGTGCCACCACTGCTGTGGAGGCTCCCTCGCAGGTCTCGCGGACGCAGATGGCACTGGGCCAGGAAGACCTGGGCGCGGCGGCGTGACGGTCCGGCGCCATCGACCCGTGGAAGCTCGACACACCTCGTGCCATTCTCGGGATACTGCTTCGGCAACGAGAGCTGCTGGGCCAAAGAGGATGCCAACCACCTCGCAGGTGCCATTTGTTTGCTCCGCGGCTTCCCCGGATCATGCCCGGTTCGCGGTGCCCGCCTCGACCTTGTGCAGCCATTCTCCGTGGAGACCCTGGCTGATCCTGAGGCGCTGCTGAAACACGTGTCTGGCAAGACCTGCTGCGGCAGGTCAGCGTCACCACCGCACAGCATCCACATCTGCCCGCCTTCTGGCAAGTCGTAGAGTTCCACCTGAACAGAGCGCCGTCTGACACTTCCATGCTCTTCCATGCATTGCTGGGCTCGCTTGGGTGCCCGGCCACGTGCGAGTCCGGCACATGAAAGGCCTGAAGCTGGTCCTGCCGCACACAGCCGAAGTCCGAAGCTTTGGAACTGCAGACCACCGGAAGAGTTTTGTGTAACGCGTCCTCCGTGATCGAGGCGGCGACCCGTTCCGTCGATGCCTCGCACAGAGAGGAAGTCACTTTTTGAGCTTCGGGGCAGCTCTTCTCTACGGCAGAGTACTCCAAGAGCCCAAGACAATCAAAGGCTCTTCCCAGCTTCGCTGGCTCTCTTGCTTGCTTGCTTGCAGGGCGTGTGGGGTTAGGGGATGGCCCCCTATACCCCCGCGCGCGAGCGCAACGCCAGTTGTCTGTGTTCGGTGTCTCTCTCTCTCTCTCTGTCTCTCTCTCTCTCTCTCTCTCTCGCTCTCTCTCTCTCTCTCTGCTTCTTCGTTCGCCCATCTTCGCCCCCTTCCCTTCGCCTCTGAGACGGCCCGGCTGAAAGCGCAGAAGTCCCGCTCCGTCACGGCGCCCAAGGCCTGGACCCCAGCCTGCGAGGCGGGGCAACGGCAGTTGTGCACAGCGCTTCTTGAACAGTCAGCAGGTATGGGCCTTTCAGGGTCTGTCTCTGGGGTCACTAGGTTTCAAGATTCCCTTATATGCTTCCACAGAGGACACAATCACGTGACACACCAAGCCAGTCCATGGAAGTCTCTGCAGTGTGGCCAGGTTCAAACCGAAGAGGAGGCGCACCGAAATGATGAACTGTTTGGCAGAAGATATCTCTCAACATGGCCTGAGGAAAGGCCAGGGGCGAATCCGGCATGCCGCGCAGGCGCACGTGCAAGGGCAGCCCTGCCGGGATTTGATCTCGTCACTCGCGAGGGAGCTGGGCGCGTAAATGTAGATAATCCATGAACCCTGAACATAGTGCTAAATCCCAGGCGTCCACGGGCAACTCTGGGCAAGTCGGCACACCTCTTATCCAAAGCTCCTTCTAGAGCCGAGTTTATCAAGAGGATCCTGCATTCGGTGCTCTGCGAAAGACATGAACACAAGGGAGGCTCCATCACCCCAACGAAATACTCCTCTCTCGGAAGTTCTGTGGGAAAACTGAAGAATTTTTGCGAGGTCTGTGTGATAGACAGCGGGCAGCAGGCAGCCCCCCCCCCCCCCCCCGCCCAGCCCCAGCCTGAGGCGCTTTGCGTGACCTGTGGCTGCAAGGGGATCGCTCCCTCCGCCTCGCAAGGGGAGCGCTCTTTACAACGCGCTTCTTGCGATCCAACATGTCACTTTCTCGGCCTCTGGCCTTTGTTCTCCTTTTGCCGCTCTTGCGCATGCTTCTTTGACTTCAACTAGAACTGAATGGCACCTCAAGGAAAACCAAAATCTCAAAACCGACGCTGTGCCAGCTTTATGGCATCCGGCTATCACCTTTGTCACGTCACGTGACGGTGATCAAAAGCAAGGTTTCGCCACTCCATGACGATGCTTCTACAGAAATCTGCGAGCCAGCTCCCACGGCTTCGGCATTGGTGTTCAGCCGGGACCCTGATATACGATGAAACGAGACTGGAATCTAAGCTGCAGCTTCTCAACGCCGTTGGCCGAGCTGCGTGAGAGAGCTCTGACAGCCAAGCACGTGAAAGTCGGCGACCATAACAGCCACACCCCACTTTCACCCTTCTGCCAGGATCAGGCGGGTGAGGCTTTGACGGAGCGCGTGGAGTGGGCTGGCGGGCTGCCCTCCATTGACCTTTCACATCTGGAATGAAGCATCTTTCCACCATTGAACCCAGCATCCCTCTGTGGCGGCATCATGTCCAAGGATCGGAGCAACTCCTCTAGCCTGGATGCCGGTGAACAAATACTACGAGTCCCGCTCCCGCCCTACATGTCACGGTGGCTCTTTGAGGCCAGTCCGCCCAAGTCATGCTTTGGCCACGACTTCGCCGGCCTGCGCATGACCCGACAGGAGATGGGGCCTCAAGGACAAGAGTCACTTAGTCATCTGTTTAGGTTCGTTGAACACCCTCACCTCTTCTGTCTAACCCGGACGGCAGAGCTCGTTTCAAAGGTTCCTACAACACTCTATTCTGCTGTTCCTAGTCAAACCGAGGAAGTCAGCTGTCAGTTTCGACTTTCAGCCTGCACTGCATGAAGTTTTGAGGATAGCCTGAAAATGTTGGATCTCTTCTCCCTTCCCTGGCCAGGGATGATTGAAACAAAATCGTTGCTGTCAAGACCTGCCGGTGGCGCCGGCTGCCGTTTTGGCACAGGCTGCAAGTACTAAGTCTGTACTGCAATGCTGTACGGCCCTAGGTTTCGGGCGCAGCCTTCGGCATTGCGCATTCTGACGCACAAATCAGCGAATTTCCAAGTCAGATGGAATCCAACATAAACTTATGCCGGTAAGAGACAGGGCACTCGTGTCGCACAGAATGCCCCTAGCACGTGTAACAGTTGCAACATCTAAAGCAACGACTACAGCATTTATGCAACCTTCCACGACTACATGTGCACGCACCCATCCCAATGCACAAGCATGCACGGACGCATTGATACATCTGTTGACATACACGGGTGCTCACACGAACTGATGTATCGACATGCAGACATGCCTTTTTAACATTCACAGAAGTAAGGAATTTTCCACAGTGGCGCACCTTAACCGGCTGGGGTCTTGACTTCTGAGCTACTGCCTCCAGCAGTGGATCCCGAAAGAGACAGGGGACAGAGGGATACTGGTCGCTAGTCGACACGATGGTTGTGCCGGTTGTGCAACTAAGATGGTCGTTGATAGCTGAAGCGGACATCCCTGCCTTCCTTCTGGGGGATCCACTGCGAGAGATCAAACGAATCATGGAAGTCTAAGACCTACTGAGTTGCGCCGCATGGGACTACAGTTTCTCGTGACACCTAAGCCCTCTGCAACTTAGCAAATCCAACTTTGAAGGCTGGCGTGTCTCAGAAGGGGCATACCCGGAAGGTTGTTCCAGGGCAGCCGTGAGAAAGAACATGTTTCAGTGTTTCAGCCTATGCTGCGGAATCTTTGACGCGATTCTAAATGCCCCAGGGCGATGGCTCTGGGAAAAGTCGGCTACCATATGGGAGTGTCCCTTGTGTGTCACATTGGGTTCAAAAGATTCAACATCAAGACAGTCCAACGCCGATCCCTTCTTCAGGAGAGTCATCCTGCTACGGATTCCGCGCCATGTCACATCTGAGGAATCTGGCACGTAACGAGTCGTTCGAATGCCTAATATTGTCAGGCTCAGTCGCTGTCTCGCATCACAACGCCTGAATGCTCACGGGCCGGGCGTTGTGCGACACTCACTACACCGACCACGCAGATGAGAACCATTGCGCACTCGCCCTTTGCGCTCTCTCTTGAGAAGTTGTTCCTTCCCTAGTTCCCCTTCCGAGCCCTATGCCGTGAGGAGCACGGAAGCGAGCGGATCGCCTCGGATAGTGAGAGAAGTGGGACTGGGTGCCCGCCAAGGACCCTTTCCCCTTTCTG